TTGATAAGGACCATGGGGAGTTGTATTAAAAGAGACATCTTCACTTCTTTTGTGGTTTGTGGATATCAGAAAATTTTACTTTTTTTCCCGGCAATCTGACATGAGGCAGCACATTCACACCTTTAGTGGGGAAAATCTATAGGATAAAACAACATCCATCATCATATCACAATATGTCTACTACCTTTGAAAATGATATGTGTAAAAAAAAAATGGCTCTAGCAAATACAACAACCAGGGACCAAAGACCTGCCCTTCTAAAGCACTTCACAGCTGGGAATAAACTTGCAAAACTGCCACAGCCATAAAATCAGAATAAGGAAAAAAAACAAAGAGCCATGCTCCAGCACAGCTTATCATATATAATGGGCTGTAAAAGAAACTTAAAGACTCTTGATCTCCTCAGATGTGATTGGTATATGACTTCACATGACGATCTTCAGCAGGTTAATAGTGTCACACCAAACCTGTGCACCAGGACCAGTGCAAAAATACCAAAATACCAGCAAAGCATTATCAGAACAACATACAGATACCAACAATGGCTGAAAAATAACGTTATGTCAATAAATCATATGATATCCACCTTATTTTAAAAATAAGAATGGGTGCTGCCATTTGTAACTTGAATGTGCAAGGTTTCCAGTATCATCCACTCCCAGTTATTTTAGCTGTACACTCTTAAAAATAAAGGTGCTTCACGATGCCATAGAAGAACCTTTTTGTCTAAATGGTTCCATAAAGAACCTTTAACATCTGAAGAACCGTTCTGTTTCACAAAAGGTTCTTTGTGGTGAAAGAAGGTTCTTCAGATTACAAAAAGGTAAGAAAGAAATGGTTCTTTAAAGAACTTTTGACTGAATGGTTCTTTGTGGAACCAAAAATGGTTCTTCTATGGCATCGCTTGAAGAACCTTTTGAAGCACCTTTATTTTTTATACACACACACACACAAATCTGTTTGCTGCTTGATAATGTGAAATTGGTATTTGTTATTCTATTATAATCATAAACACACTGGCGTGTAGCTTAAACAGTTACACAGTGTTACACTTTATGGCTAATAAATGGGAAGTCTTGCACATTCACACAAAAATTACTTTGGTGTTTCAAAAAAATTAAAAGGTTGATATCAGAGGAATTAAAATAGTTTGTAATGATGGAATATCTTATGATCTATATGGATACAATTATAGAAATAAAGATGGAGTTGATGGACATAAGTTGCCTTGACAAAGACAACAACATACTGTTATTTTAGGAACTTAAAAGCAAAATTTCAAAAGGCGTAGTCCGGCACAGTCTTATCGGATATAGCTTTCACTTAAAAAAAATTATAATTTGGGAGGAACCAAATAAGAACATTCTGGGAACATTCTATTTACTTTTTTTTTTTTTAAACCTCCTGGCTAACCAACAGAGAATGTTAGAATATCTGTTTTTGGGAACCAGAAATTACCGTTAATTAAACAATAATTGTTAGCTGGGGTACAGTTGAATACAACATAGGCCTACTTCTGTTTAGTCAGCTTTAAGATGCTATCTATCTGTCTAATAACCCTTTAAAGGTTTTGTCATCAAGACAGGATTTACGTTTGCACTGGCAAACTTTTCTTTATCTTTAGTTTAAAATTTTTACAAAAGTAGTTTGGAACTGTATTATAAACCCATGTGAAATATGAGAGCCAATACATATTTTAAGACTCGATTAGGGCCATTAAAATGTCAGTAGCACTAAAAAAAAAAAACTCCCTCAGATTTTTATACAACAGCAGGTGTGTTGAAGTGTCGACGCTCAGTCTCCATTTCAGAGACTGTAGGCCTCAGAGGCGTTGCGCGGAGAGAGGGAGCCCTCTAGTGCTTAAGCGCTGAAGTAGCAGAAACACGCCGTTAATGGCTGCTCCAGGCCCTGGCAGAACATCAATCCAGGCCCACATGAGAAATATACAGCACGAACAAACACAAAATCTTTCAGTCACACAGTTTAATGAATCTGACAGGCCGCTTTTGTCATGGGCGCGGTACCTGAGTGGGCATACGGCAAATGCTATAGTCTAAAATATAACTATACAGTCAAATGATTGTGCAGACAGGATCAGAACTGTAATAAAAAAAACACATGCAAATTAATTCTACTCATCTTGAACAGACCGAAAGACGGCAAAGAAATGTGTTGTGCGATCAGACCTTTACTACTTGCATTCAGAAACCTGTTCTGCAGACGACGTGAAAAGCTTGATGGAGCTAGTATGCCATAACATGAGTTACATATGTGCTTTTGCTTTTAATCTTTATTATATGTGCATCTCAATTACATCTAGGCCATTGTATATTCAGACAGACATTTCAAATGGTCAATATAGGTTCTCTCAAACGCAATACCTCTCAAGCATCAAATGAAAAGAAAATATACATTTACTGCAGAGGTAATCAGACAAACACTTTCTTTCTATAACAACAGAATGCTTCAAACCAAATGTTCTTCTATCCATCACCCCAATACCCCAAAAATGAACACAGCGCATAGCATTCAATGTATTACAGCACTAAGTCACCAAAAATATATTTATAGCAGACATATGTGCTGGTCAATACACTTCACATTTTCTGATTTCCTTTATTATAATTTTTCGTTTTTTTTTTTTTTACAACATGTGCTAGGAAAAACCTGCAAGGACCATTAACTAAAACTTAGGGCCTCTAATGAAAAGCAATTTAGCTGCAACATGTACACAAATAGTATGGGAGATGATCCATGCGGTTGTGCACAGCCAGCATAGTCAGGGTATGGTCTCGTTTAATATTTGTAGATGACATCCGTCACCAGTGCATCACAGTCTTCATTGGAGATACATTCTACGGTCTGGTTTGGCCTGGACTCAGCCAGACTTGAAGAGGAGAATGGCCACCTGGCCCAAGTAGAAGTAGATGAAGTGTTTTGTCTCATGGGTCACGTAGCTGCCGAAGTTCCTTCCCACAATGCAGTGCCACGTAGGATTGTATTTCTTATCGAACTCCTGTAACACGAGACAACGTGGTTTAAGCACGGCGGAAAATGCAAGCGCGACAAAAATACACGTTAGGAGTCTAAAATAACAGCACGGCGCGACTCACCTTTTTGATGTATGCGGCAATGTCCTTCTCTATGTTGTATTTCTCCATGGCCTGTGTGGCACAGTCCACTGCATCCTGCTGCATGTCTTCAGACATGTCAGCGTTCTTGATCACAGCCTTCCTGTCAGTCATGGTGCCTGAAAATGGAGAGACGAACAAAGTTAAGTCTCCACTGAGAGTCAAACAGTGGGGCCTTTCATGGGTGCTTCTTCCCTGACAATGCCAGGTAAATTCCTGACAGAACGCCATCAACGGAGAGGATCCGATTTGTTGAGTCAATTCAAATGACACTAGATACTTTCATGAGAACCAAACCGGTCTTTCAGTCCAGCAGTAGCATTTAAAGCTAGTCAATAAAGGCTGTATTTGCATACTATTAATGCTGGGCCCAGAAAACGAAGTCAAACTGTTCTCAAATGACATTTCGTGGAGTTAAATCCTGTATAAAAGTACTTTTGTTAACTAGCAATACCAATACTGGGATACATATAGTCCAAATGCATAGAAAGCACATTTGTAGCTAGTCAATAAAGGCCATGTTTGCATACTATTAATGCTGGGCTCAGAAAACCTAATCAAATAGTGGTCAAAGTCCATTTTTTTTTGGTAAATCCTGTATAAAAAGTACTTCAGTTAACTAGCAATACCAATAATGGGATAACTATGGTCCAAATGTATAGACACAGACAGCACTACCATTTGCAGCTGGTCAATAGACTACATTTGCATAATCTTAATGCTGAGCCCACAAAACCCATGTCAAATTGTGCTCAAATTCCAATTTGTTTTGCGTTAAATCCAGTATAAAAGTATTTTCGTTAACTAGCAATACTGAGATAAATATGATCGAAATCCTTAAACAGCACTGCCATTTGAAGCTGTGTCAATAAAAGCGCATACTTGCATTCTATTAATGCTGGGCGCATAAAACCAAGTCAAATTGCGCTCAAATTACTTACAAAAAAATTGAATCCACTATAAATGTACTTTGATTAAACAAGCAATACCTGTACTAGGATGCATATGGTCTGAATTCATACCCGAAGACGGGACTACTACCACTTCCAGCTAATCAATAAAGTCCATATATGCATACTATTAGGGATTACAGCACTACCATTTGCAGCTGGTCAATAGACTACATTTGCATAATCTTAATGCTGAGCCCACAAAACCCATGTCAAATTGTGCTCAAATTCCAATTTGTTTTGCGTTAAATCCAGTATAAAAGTATTTTCGTTAACTAGCAATACTGAGATAAATATGATCGAAATCCTTAAACAGCACTGCCATTTGAAGCTGTGTCAATAAAAGCGCATACTTGCATTCTATTAATGCTGGGCGCATAAAACCAAGTCAAATTGCGCTCAAATTACTTACAAAAAAAATTTGAATCCACTATAAATGTACTTTGATTAAACAAGCAATACCAGTACTAGGATGCATATGGTCCGAATTCATACCCGAAGACGGGACTACTACCACTTCCAGCTAATCAATAAAGTCCATATATGCATACTATTAGGGATTCATATGGTGCAAATGCATACAGGCAAACTAGTACAGAAAACCAGTAATAGATCATACACAGCTGGCATCAGCACTTCACACACCACGATGATTTAGCAGCTGAAGTCAGCTGTATGTTGGCAGTCGAATGGTTCAGGATAAGGTCTGGACTCATCCAGCAACCACTGACCGCTCAGGATGGAGGACCGCTACGTCACGCCTCATTCACAGCGCGCGCGCTCGAGGTTCAAGCAAATCAATGAAACCCAGCTGCACGCGGCGTTCTCATTGTAGCGTCTGCATTTTAAAGCCAAACACATGCTTTGCTGAAGCGATTCAAATGTTGCAAAAATATATATTTATATCGCCATGCTGGACTCAGCCAGACTTGAAGAGGAGAATGGCCACCTGGCCCAAGTAGAAGTAGATGAAGTGTTTTGTCTCATGGGTCACGTAGCTGCCGAAGTTCCTTCCCACAATGCAGTGCCACGTAGGATTGTATTTCTTATCGAACTCCTGTAACACGAGACAACGTGGTTTAAGCACGGCGGAAAATGCAAGCGCGACAAAAATACACGTTAGGAGTCTAAAATAACAGCACGGCGCGACTCACCTTTTTGATGTATGCGGCAATGTCCTTCTCTATGTTGTATTTCTCCATGGCCTGTGTGGCACAGTCCACTGCATCCTGCTGCATGTCTTCAGACATGTCAGCGTTCTTGATCACAGCCTTCCTGTCAGTCATGGTGCCTGAAAATGGAGAGACGAACAAAGTTAAGTCTCCACTGAGAGTCAAACAGTGGGGCCTTTCATGGGTGCTTCTTCCCTGACAATGCCAGGTAAATTCCTGACAGAACGCCATCAACGGAGAGGATCCGATTTGTTGAGTCAATTCAAATGACACTAGATACTTTCATGAGAACCAAACCGGTCTTTCAGTCCAGCAGTAGCATTTAAAGCTAGTCAATAAAGGCTGTATTTGCATACTATTAATGCTGGGCCCAGAAAACGAAGTCAAACTGTTCTCAAATGACATTTCGTGGAGTTAAATCCTGTATAAAAGTACTTTTGTTAACTAGCAATACCAATACTGGGATACATATAGTCCAAATGCATAGAAAGCACATTTGTAGCTAGTCAATAAAGGCCATGTTTGCATACTATTAATGCTGGGCTCAGAAAACCTAATCAAATAGTGGTCAAAGTCCATTTTTTTTTGGTAAATCCTGTATAAAAAGTACTTCAGTTAACTAGCAATACCAATAATGGGATAACTATGGTCCAAATGTATAGACACAGACAGCACTACCATTTGCAGCTGGTCAATAGACTACATTTGCATAATCTTAATGCTGAGCCCACAAAACCCATGTCAAATTGTGCTCAAATTCCAATTTGTTTTGCGTTAAATCCAGTATAAAAGTATTTTCGTTAACTAGCAATACTGAGATAAATATGATCGAAATCCTTAAACAGCACTGCCATTTGAAGCTGTGTCAATAAAAGCGCATACTTGCATTCTATTAATGCTGGGCGCATAAAACCAAGTCAAATTGCGCTCAAATTACTTACAAAAAAAATTTGAATCCACTATAAATGTACTTTGATTAAACAAGCAATACCAGTACTAGGATGCATATGGTCCGAATTCATACCCGAAGACGGGACTACTACCACTTCCAGCTAATCAATAAAGTCCATATATGCATACTATTAGGGATTCATATGGTGCAAATGCATACAGGCAAACTAGTACAGAAAACCAGTAATAGATCATACACAGCTGGCATCAGCACTTCACACACCACGATGATTTAGCAGCTGAAGTCAGCTGTATGTTGGCAGTCGAATGGTTCAGGATAAGGTCTGGACTCATCCAGCAACCACTGACCGCTCAGGATGGAGGACCGCTACGTCACGCCTCATTCACAGCGCGCGCGCTCCGAGGTTCAAGCAAATCAATGAAACCCAGCTGCACGCGGCGTTCTCATTGTAGCGTCTGCATTTTAAAGCCAAACACATGCTTTGCTGAAGCGATTCAAATGTTGCAGCAAAAATATATATTTATATCGCCATGTAAATATCTCAAATGAAAGCATCAGGCTCAAAATGCATGCAAGATCATTCTTTATAAAATCACTCGAGATGGTAAACTACTCAACTCACCTATCAACAATAGAAATTTGCAGTTCAAAACAATCGGCGTACGAGCTTTCGTCGTTTCGGGTGTCCCCTTGACGCTAGGAGAGGAACATAAGGAGGATCAAGTCAAACGCCGACTGGTGCCCGCGCTGAAATCCCTGGCTCTCCACAATGCGTCCTACACAGCGCTCGCTATTGGCTGCAGACCAGCCGCTCCCTGCGCCCCTCTGCCAGCATCTTATTTCATCCCACAATGCATCTTTAACCGGAGACCGGAGGAAAATGTGCTTGTTTGGGTATAAGCTGCGGGACTGTGTGGGCCAGAAAATAGCTTAAATTAGACTCGGTGGACCTTCGCAATGAAAACACTCCACAGTGAGTGAAGGACACTTACTGCTAGAGGTATTCATCTGTTGCACCTCTCATGGTCGGTCCAATGCAGTGTAATGCAACTAGAAATGAAAATAAGAAATGCGATGTTCTGGTTACTCTAACGATTTCCCTAGATTTTTATAGCAATATGTGGGGAAATGAAAGGAATTGCCCTTAACAGTCTACTATCAATTTATTTAAACAGAATTCTAATTTAGGCATGAATGTAATAGTTGTGGAATTGGTGCGCTTATAAATGCGTCTATAATGTGTCGTTTATAAAGTTCCTCTCATTACAATGAAACTCAGAAATATGTGTCTTTACAGGTTATCGTGACAACCGGTCAGCAGTTCTCACAACAGATCGAGTTCATTTTATTGGACGTGACTAAAGTAATAACTTGCAAATGATTCAGGTTCATTCTCAAAAAGAATCGGCTCATACGAGTCGGGATACTTTGATTTATAACGTTTTGTTTTTTGATTCATTATAAAGAATCAAAAACAAACTACAATTAACTTATTTTTTCCTAAACAATTCTCCCACTAATGTAGTTAATTATCCTAGCTTTATAGTTACTAAACAACTTTGCACATTAATATAGAATTCAACTGTTGGGCGGCGTCCGAAATTAAAGGGACAGTCAAGAATTTGTTTTAAACTTGCAGTATTCCTGTAGCTCACACAGTGGAGCACGGTGTTAACATGGCCATGTGTTCACTCCCAGGGAATGTATGAACTGATCAAATGTGTACCTTTAGTACAATATAAATCACTTTTGTCAAAATTAACATAAATAGCTGTCTTCATTTACTCATTCTCATGTCTTTCCAACCTGCACAACTTGCTTTGTTCTATAGAACACAAAATATATTTTGAAAAACGCGCATGTTTGTATGTTTTGGACGCCATAGACTTCCATTGTTTGGACAAACAGCGGAAACGTTCTTCAAAATATTTTGTCTCACCAAAGTCAGTCTTGAAACACCATGACTGAGTGAATAATTTTAATTCCAGGTGAACTGTCAATTGGGAAGCATTTAAAAAAAAAACAGCAAAGTAATGCACCGTACACTACGTTTGTACCAATGAAACCTTTATTTAGGCAAAAACTGTTCACTAAAAAGAAAAATGCTAGCAATGTTAAAGCATCTACCATCCACATCGGGACAGTGTAAATCTAAAAATGCCTGAGTAAACCCCCACCCAGCCCAAATTCAGTTTACCATACTGTTCCTGTCGATTCCATCCCCAGACTGTTCCAGCATCTGCTCCGCCAACGTGTTAAAAATGTGAAAGGCCAAAATGTCTACATTTTACGCTGAGGTACAGAGAAAATAAAGGGGGCAGGGAAGTACTTTTGAATTTCGGTCTTAAAATCCTATGATCCTGGGAGCAATTGATCCTGTTCCATGTATCCAGCATTCCCTATCCTATCTTCATTATGTACTGATCCCAGTGATCCGGCATCCACTGAGCCTCTCCTCCAATCCAAACCTTAAGATACCAGCTAAATCAAAACAAAGGAGGCAAAGAGTTAGAATCAAATCCACTCACCCTGCCTTCTTTGATGCATGCATACAGCATTAGGTGCTAAGACAGACTATCAAAACTAATAACCTAACACTATAAGACTGAATCAAACATTTTAATGAAAACATGAAAGCTGCCATCTGTCTTTGGGCACAAAAACCCAACTAGATATTTGACCAGTACATCTTTACAATGCAACTAAACATACCACCTGATTTGAAAGTGATCTAAAATTGGTTCAGTTACCCAAATAATGGCCAAAGGGCCAATAAGTCTTTTTTTTTTTCTTTTCTTTTTTTTGGAGTAGAAGTTTGTTCTAGAGTTCAAATTCACCCTTTTACGCAACAGTATAGATTTAGTAATCAGAATTCTAATTTAGGCATGAATGTAATAGTTGTGGAATTGGTGCGCTTATAAATGCGTCTATAATGTGTCGTTTATAAAGTTCCTCTCATTACAATGAAACTCAGAAATATGTGTCTTTACAGGTTATCGTGACAACCGGTCAGCAGTTCTCACAACAGATCGAGTTCATTTTATTGGACGTGACTAAAGTAATAACTTGCAAATGATTCAGGTTCATTCTCAAAAAGAATCGGCTCATACGAGTCGGGATACTTTGATTTATAACGTTTTGTTTTTTGATTCATTATAAAGAATCAAAAACAAACTACAATTAACTTATTTTTTCCTAAACAATTCTCCCACTAATGTAGTTAATTATCCTAGCTTTATAGTTACTAAACAACTTTGCACATTAATATAGAATTCAACTGTTGGGCGGCGTCCGAAATTAAAGGGACAGTCAAGAATGTGTTTTAAACTTGCAGTATTCCTGTAGCTCACACAGTGGAGCACGGTGTTAACATGGCCATGTGTTCACTCCCAGGGAATGTATGAACTGATCAAATGTGTACCTTTAGTACAATATAAATCACTTTTGTCAAAATTAACATAAATAGCTGTCTTCATTTACTCATTCTCATGTCTTTCCAACCTGCACAACTTGCTTTGTTCTATAGAACACAAAATATATTTTGAAAAACGCGCATGTTTGTATGTTTTGGACGCCATAGACTTCCATTGTTTGGACAAACAGCGGAAACGTTCTTCAAAATATTTTGTCTCACCAAAGTCAGTCTTGAAACACCATGACTGAGTGAATAATTTTAATTCCAGGTGAACTGTCAATTGGGAAGCATTTAAAAAAAAAACAGCAAAGTAATGCACCGTACACTACGTTTGTACCAATGAAACCTTTATTTAGGCAAAAACTGTTCACTAAAAAGAAAAATGCTAGCAATGTTAAAGCATCTACCATCCACATCGGGACAGTGTAAATCTAAAAATGCCTGAGTAAACCCCCACCCAGCCCAAATTCAGTTTACCATACTGTTCCTGTCGATTCCATCCCCAGACTGTTCCAGCATCTGCTCCGCCAACGTGTTAAAAATGTGAAAGGCCAAAATGTCTACATTTTACGCTGAGGTACAGAGAAAATAAAGGGGGCAGGGAAGTACTTTTGAATTTCGGTCTTAAAATCCTATGATCCTGGGAGCAATTGATCCTGTTCCATGTATCCAGCATTCCCTATCCTATCTTCATTATGTACTGATCCCAGTGATCCGGCATCCACTGAGCCTCTCCTCCAATCCAAACCTTAAGATACCAGCTAAATCAAAACAAAGGAGGCAAAGAGTTAGAATCAAATCCACTCACCCTGCCTTCTTTGATGCATGCATACAGCATTAGGTGCTAAGACAGACTATCAAAACTAATAACCTAACACTATAAGACTGAATCAAACATTTTAATGAAAACATGAAAGCTGCCATCTGTCTTTGGGCACAAAAACCCAACTAGATATTTGACCAGTACATCTTTACAATGCAACTAAACATACCACCTGATTTGAAAGTGATCTAAAATTGGTTCAGTTACCCAAATAATGGCCAAAGGGCCAATAAGTCTTTTTTTTTCTTTTCTTTTTTTTGGAGTAGAAGTTTGTTCTAGAGTTCAAATTCACCCTTTTACGCAACAGTATAGATTTAGTAATCCTTTATTACAAAGCATCAGTTCTGTATCACGTCTAGAGGAAGACAGCATAAAACAATTGTGGAACTATTCACTATCCCATGAATAACTTTCATACATGGCATTTACAAAAATATTGGGAGCCATTACATAACCCTTTGTTTGGTCTACGAAAAAGACTTCCACTTTGTAGTTAATAAAAGAAAAAAGATGGGTCCTGTTAAAAATGCATGTTTAAAAATAACCAATAGAGGGAGAGAAAAAATAAAAGGACAGAAAGGCATAAGATGATCATGGTCTCATGAAACAAGAAGGGTGGAATTAAAACATGGGGTTTGTATAAAGACTAAAAACAACTGGTTCAAGGGCTCGTTTAGGAGCGAGAGCGGGAACGGCTATGGCGAGGAGAGTACTGCGGGGATCCTCGACTGCGGCGTGGGGAGAAGCTTCGGCTACGGTTGTTGCTACGGCTGCGACTCCTGCTGCGACTGCGGCTCCTTGACCTTGATCTTCCATAGCTCGGACTGCGGGGACCATCCACCTTCACACGGATGTACGCAGTTTCTCCCTGGCAGAGAAAGAACTTTCCACTGAGCAAGTGTAACGTACAAGCATGCCAACACTCTCACTATACTTACCAGACGTCCTGCAATGAAACATTGTTGTTTAGCTGTACACCAGTATTCCCATTTCCATACAGTTGGGAATAGTTTGATAAGGTTTAGCTTTGGTACTCAAAAGGAAAAGTCACCTAGTACTGGATTTTGCCAATACCATTAAAGTTAAAAAATCTGTCCGATAACCAATTAGCCAATAGCTATTATAATTAGTAATATGAACAAAATCGCAATGAAAATTAGTACTGAAGTGTGTATAATATATATACATATATATAAAATTACCATAATCTTACATTTGCAAAAAAAAGTTTGTAAGAACAGAGTTTGTAAAACATGCATGAAACAAGCAATCTAACAAATGAAAACGAAATAGACATTTTACATTAACATTGTAATTCTAAAAAGAAATCGATTAAAAACATCTACACAGACAACAGGTTTTTACGCAGTTCCAGGATGCAGCTATCAATGCCAATTAATCAGCTAAATCAATACATCAGTCGACCTCTATTCACAAGGATGAGTTCACTTACAACATAGATCCTCCTAGTATAACATTAGGGATTTGCTTACCTTAAGAATATTCCAATGTTAAGCATATCCAAAAAATTCAGATTAAAATCTCAAACCTACCTCATGGGACCGGAATTTTGTGTTATCCAGTTTGCGAACGGCGTAGGTCATGTCTTCTTTGCGAACAAACTCCACCACACCAGTTCCATCTCGGAAAACGTCAGCGTAACATACATCACCTGCTTCACGCATGTGATCCTTCAGATCCTGCCAGCTCCCGCTTGGTGGAAGCCCTGGAATCAAATAGAACCGTCAACACAACTTCAAACAGCTCTTGAATTAGTTAAAGCTGTGATGCTACCATACCTGAAACGATTACCCTGTACTCTGAACGTCTGGATGGGGGTCCATATCTACCCCTAGGAGCCCCACCGCCTCCGCCACCACCACCTCCTCCGCCGCCGCCACCTCCTCCGCCTCCAAAACCTCCTCTCCCGCTCCTGGGAAACTCCACTCGGAGACGATAGCCATCATAGTCATAGCCATCACGTGCATAAACAGCATCTTCTGCATCTCTAAAGGCAACAGAAGCAGGAAAAGCACGTAAATACCAATCTGGCATGAAAAACCAGTCAGTGTGGCTAGGGGTCACACCGAGTTAAACTACAAACAGTAACTAATCTGACCAGCTAGTTAAGTGACTAAACACTTAAAAGTAATGCAATATTGCCTCAAAATACAGAAGAGGTATGTGCCAAACAGGAACTTGTAGCAAAAACTCACTGAAACTAATCTGCATCAAGCTCAAGATGTAGGCCTAATTTGTCTAGTTTCAAAGCTAATTTCCATATCCAAACCTAAAGCCTAAGAAAGACCAAATGAAAACTTAAGCTTAAACATTAAACAAACGTGTTAGGTCGAAATTAGTAAGTAAAAGTTGCAAGCCTTACTCTCACTGCGACGCCAAACATTATTTAATAGAAACAAACGAAGCTCTGGAAACATGGTGAGCATGGCTAAGCTAATTAGCATGTTAGCACAGAGCAAAAGAAAAAAACCTTAGTTGCAAAAATACACACTTGCTTCTATATAGATTGCGAAAACACAGTTTTCAGGTTACAGGTTTTTAGAATTCTTATAATTTAGGTGAAAACGGCAACGTTGAAACAAACAGACTAACGTTAGCCTTTTAGCAAAAGCCACAAGGTTCAGTTGTAACGTTACCCACCTCGGGTCTTCAAACTCGACAAAGGCGAATGGAGGTCCGCCTCGTCGGTTTTTCAGATCTATGTCTCGAATGGCTCCGTACTTATAAAACACATCTTCGACATCTTTGTTGCGGATATCAGGCGGCAGATTGCCCACATAGATGCGGCAGTCGTTGTTTCCAGCAGGGCCGCGGATCACACTACTAGACATCTCTGCACTGATAAACCTTCACCTTCCTGTTGAGCAGAGACATAACATTCACTTCGAGTCTGATATGCAGCAGCTGTCTGCTTAACTTGCGAAATACATTAAATAAACTGCAACACCAGTCTGATAAAAAAACAAAAAGACTTACTATTGTTTGAAGCGACGCTCGCACGCGCACAACGAGAGAGCGCGTTTCCTCTGGAGTCGCGCGGATCGCTTCCTCTTCAGCAAGAATCCGGAGAAGCGGCTGAGATGCGGTTAATGGCATCTACATCCGCGACGCGAAATAGTTCGGATAGTGACAGCTGCCCCTTTTCCCCTTGATGCCCAATAAAAAAAATTTTAAACGCCATTTTGTGAAGGCCTGCCCAATCTAACTATTAGTAAAATGAATTTATAATAATTTAGTCATAAATAAAATTATCCACATGATAATGACCTTTCACCTGACGATCTCATCAGGGATTATCCCTCATGTTCAGACACCTTTAATGTAAGGCACTATATTATTAAATTATTATTATTATACAAGAACTGCCTGAAGAGAGCATGCACAGCTGTTGTGTATATTGTGTTTGTAGCCTGTGGAAGTATGGTTAGCTGCAGCAAGGGGCTATATAATATTTTTGTTAAATATTTTCCTAATGAACAATTTTATGATCGGTTTATAAAGGCTACTACGAGCACCTTTTCCCCATTTTTATCACAGAATAAGGCAGGGAATGTATAGTTTCTATAGGCCACTAAATGATATGTCAATCAGTACCGCATTATTCATAAAGTTTATTTATTACCTGGAGATAACTTGGAAAAACACATACACCGAATATTTTCGCAATCGTGTGTTTAGTGTCTTCAAGTTTTTTTTCTGCTTTTTATTCAGCTCAGCTACAGCAACCGGATGCTTTTGTCCATATTAGGCTTTCCTGCATGTCATAAGTTATTCCTTCTATGAGTCTGATTTTGACTTTTTGCTCGAGAGCGCCCTCCGGCTTCGAGTGTGAATTAAACATACACTGCATCCAGATATTCACTTCTCCTCATTTTGGATACGAATAAAACGTCAGGTCATGCATAGACTATCGATACTGTCTCTTTGAATTTAAATCTAGAAACCTCTATGTGAACACACCTGCCCGAATAAGCAATATAAACAAAGATGCCTGTTCTCTTTAGTTCTTGCAGTTTGATAGGGAAACGTTTAAAGGGCGTCGAGGGGTCTTGTCTTTATGTTATCTGATTAAAAAACTATTACAGTATTTATTTTAAAAACGTAGTGTGCCTTAAAAATAATTATCACAACCCTGATAAAACAGGCTTATACTGATTTTCTCATCCTCCGATTTATAGGCTACTTATCAATCCTGTTTTTAATCAACATTATAATTTAAAAAATGAATAAATTCAGAACAGGATTATAATATAATTCTATTTTAAATAAGACAGAAATATTTTTTCTACAACAACAACAGTAGTGTTTACAACAGCAAAACCACCATAGGCCTACCCTGTAAACTCGACAATAATAATAGGCCTGATTTAATTCCGTTTCTATTTTCAGAGTGATGAAGAGGTGCAAAAAACGATTTATTTCACTTTTAAACTTAAAATGGTCTTTTCTGTTCTGTGTTTCTTTTTCAAAACTGCGTCACGGCATTTGCTGCTATCAATACAGAAGCATCCTTTTCGATACATGTCTCAGCAAGGAGCACAGCCCTATTAAAAGCCGTGCTCCATGTGCCCCTTTTATACTTTGAGCACCTGCCCCTCCAAAGGTCTCTGCACGGCCCTGATAAAAAGTATTTTCTATGGTTGGGTAATTGGAATGGATAGCCTAAGGAATAGGTATATCAAGCTTTTATTATTTACTGTAGTGCTTTTTATTTTGGGCCTCTGGTGAAGTCAATATTCTACTTATTGTTTGCACCTGCTGCTGTGGTAAACTGTAGATTACCGATTATGTTACATAGGGACAACATTTAAAAGAACAAACCATTTACAATTATCAGTATGCCTTGCGATTTTAGGCATATGAGATTTAGTTTCGTTATTAAAGGGGCTCATCGGTCTGAAAAGCGAGGTGTGCTCTGATTGGCCAGCTATCCAGTGCGTTGTGATTGGCCGAATACCTCAAGCGTGTGACGGAAATGTTACGCCCCTTAACTTATTGTGATGCCTTGTCCGGCCGGAGACAAAAACATTAAAACCCATTATAAACGAGGCATTCATTGCATCCAGTGGGGACATAATTATGGATTATAATGACTTATACTGTCTTTTTACGCGTTGCGTTGCATCGCGCCGCTTAAACATAAAACCATGTCTGCATTTGTGATCGGAGAAATGACAAACAACAAGCGCTACTCTACACTGCTCAAAACTCACGTTTGAATCATCAGTGGCAAATTCTTTAAATATAAAAAAACGTACTTACAGTCTGTGAGTCAGAACAGCCGGCATTGTAGTCTACTCTACCAGGATCAGGAAACAGTCCTCCATAAAATGTACTGCACACATCTGAATATTTGGGTTGAAGTGTTCTAGAATAGTGTCGTAAATACAACTTAACCACTGATTTCTAGTCTTGTCCTCTTTTGGAAGGCCAAACAAAGTAGTTTCGCTTTCACAACGAAACACACAGTGTCACACACCGCGGCCTTGAGTGAGCGGAGGCCGGCAGGCTTGAGAACGGCGCGGCCGGCGGATTCGACAAAGGAGCGTCCGGTGGGCTTGCGGCAACCACATGTGACGACCCTGGGCTTTACAGATCTTCTTTAGAGCTTGTAACACTCCAAAGAGAAACGAAAAATTTCAATCGCATCATATGACCCCTTTAATAATTGTAATATATATTAATATAATAACGAAGGATGCATATGTAGCCTACTATAATGTGTATTCAAAGATTAGAGTCCAGACACGTCTTCTATCATCACAATTTTATTGCAGCATTTTCAGTTCGTATACAGGTTGTCAATAATTTAGTTTCACTTTTGTTTTGTCGATAATGCATTCAAGCCAAACATACAGATTTACCAGATAGGCTACTCATAAACTCGTAATCCATGTGGTTATTCTTCATCAGAACAAAGGCTTTATTAAAGCTTTAGATGATGAAAGGGTAGATTACAGAAGCATATAGATCTTTATATCTATCCTAAGAAACTCTTAAATGTTGACAGTAAGTGATAAGGATCAATACAATACAATCAACTGTAACTTGTCAGTTCCATTACTTTCCTAAAGAATTATCTTGGCAACATTATAATTTAAAAAATGAATAAATTCAGAACAGGATTATAATATAATTCTATTTTAAATAAGACAGAAATATTTTTTCTACAACAACAACAGTAGTGTTTACAACAGCAAAACCACCATAGGCCTACCCTGTAAACTCGACAATAATAATAGGCCTGATTTAATTCCGTTCTATTTTCAGAGTGATGAAGAGGTGCAAAAAACGATTTATTTCACTTTTAAACTTAAAATGGTCTTTTCTGTTCTGTGTTTCTTTTTCAAAACTGCGTCACGGCATTTGCTGCTATCAATACAGAAGCATCCTTTTCGATACATGTCTCGGCAAGGAGCACAGCCCTATTAAAAGCCGTGCTCCATGTGCCCCTTTTATACTTTGAGCACCTGCCCCTCCAAAGGTCTCTGCACGGCCCTGATAAAAAGTATTTTCTATGGTTGGGTAATTGGAATGGATAGCCTAAGGAATAGGTATATCAAGCTTTTATTATTTACTGTAGTGCTTTTTATTTTGGGCCTCTGGTGAAGTCAATATTCTACTTATTGTTTGCACCTGCTGCTGTGGTAAACTGTAGATTACCGATTATGTTACATAGGGACAACATTTAAAAGAACAAACCATTTACAATTATCAGTATGCCTTGCGATTTTAGGCATATGAGATTTAGTTTCGTTATTAAAGGGGCTCATCGGTCTGAAAAGCGAGGTGTGCTCTGATTGGCCAGCTATCCAGTGCGTTGTGATTGGCCGAATACCTCAAGCGTGTGACGGAAATGTTACGCCCCTTAACTTATTGTGATGCCTTGTCCGGCCGGAGACAAAAACATTAAAACCCATTATAAACGAGGCATTCATTGCATCCAGTGGGGACATAATTATGGATTATAATGACTTATACTGTCTTTTTACGCGTTGCGTTGCATCGCGCCGCTTAAACATAAAACCATGTCTGCATTTGTGATCGGAGAAATGACAAACAACAAGCGCTACTCTACACTGCTCAAAACTCACGTTTGAATCATCAGTGGCAAATTCTTTAAATATAAAAAAACGTACTTACAGTCTGTGAGTCAGAACAGCCGGCATTGTAGTCTACTCTACCAGGATCAGGAAACAGTCCTCCATAAAATGTACTGCACACATCTGAATATTTGGGTTGAAGTGTTCTAGAATAGTGTCGTAAATACAACTTAACCACTGATTTCTAGTCTTGTCCTCTTTTGGAAGACCAAACAAAGTAGTTTCGCTTTCACAACGAAACACACAGTGTCACACACCGCGGCCTTGAGTGAGCGGAGGCCGGCAGGCTTGAGAACGGCGCGGCCGGCGGATTCGACAAAGGAGCGTCCGGTGGGCTTGCGGCAACCACATGTGACGACCCTGGGCTTTACAGATCTTCTTTAGAGCTTGTAACACTCCAAAGAGAAACGAAAAATTTCAATCGCATCATATGACCCCTTTAATAATTGTAATATATATTAATATAATAACGAAGGATGCATATGTAGCCTACTATAATGTGTATTCAAAGATTAGAGTCCAGACACGTCTTCTATCATCACAATTTTATTGCAGCATTTTCAGTTCGTATACAGGTTGTCAATAATTTAGTTTCACTTTTGTTTTGTCGATAATGCATTCAAGCCAAACATACAGATTTACCAGATAGGCTACTCATAAACTCGTAATCCATGTGGTTATTCTTCATCAGAACAAAGGCTTTATTAAAGCTTTAGATGATGAAAGGGTAGATTACAGAAGCATATAGATCTTTATATCTATCCTAAGAAACTCTTAAATGTTGACAGTAAGTGATAAGGATCAATACAATACAATCAACTGTAACTTGTCAGTTCCATTACTTTCCTAAAGAATTATCTTGGCAACAATAGCTATAATTTTACAATGTTTTTAAGAAAAGCAGGGGACACCACAAAATTTCACATCCTCAGAAACTTCCCTGATAGCACATGTACATCACAGAGACGTTTATTTGAAGTCTGCATTTACATCTGAAAGATGTATTTTTTAGAGTGTTCGCTCATCTACAATACGTCTCACAAGCAACACTGCTCAAAAAAAGTTGCCCAGCAAAATTGCTCAAAAAGATGCCCCGTGTATCATCAGCCTAAGGGGTCGTTAACACAACACAGTCTTCAACTGAAATTGGAAAACTTTTTATGCATTTTGGACGTTAATTTACAGGACAACAACATTTTGGGGGCCTGAAATATGCATAAACGTTATTGCCTCCATGTAAAATACATTTTAGAACATTTGATTTGAGAAAATGGTGACCTACTCATGTGTACATGTTCATGTTTTCATCTTATAGGTATATATGCGTATGTGTACAGGTGCGTAGTGTTTCTTTTCAAAGTGGTATCGCCAACTACTGGCCTGGCATGCTTAATACAGCATTTTCAGTCTTTTTGTGGATCCGTGTGAATGGGGATCATTTTGACAACATTGTTGTCTGTACATAAAAAACACAAAGAAAAAGCTGTTCCGTTTTTAGTACACCATTGTTGTGTAAACATACCCTCAATGAGAAATAGTCATACAACTTCAAGAAAAAACATCCTAGTTTAACCAGTATTTCTGACAACTCAAAAATGTTTTGCTGGTCAAACTGACTTGGAACATAATATAAGGGTTAAACAGTTTACTAAATCAAGAGCCAAAAAACTAAGGTAAAAGGAGTCTACCAACCAAATGTATCAACATTGAAATCAAATTGGAATTGAATTATCAGATATTCAGATCCAGAGAATGAACATCTTTGAAATACCTTGTGTAGTGGTTTCTCCATTAGTCCCTGGCATGGGGACTACTCCTTTGTCAACCTGTGAAGAAAGGGTAAAATATTTTAGAAATTAAAATTCAAAATTAAATTTTAATTTCAGCTTATTAACTTAAATTGCCCGGTCAGAAAAAAGGTGCAAAAATTGTACCTTTAGGAGAACAACAGGTGCATATTAGTAGCTTAGAGTAATAAAGTGCACCATTAAGGTTTCTAATATTAACCTTTTAGGGGTAAATACAGTACAAAGGTAGAATTTTTGCCCAATTAAATACTAAATTCAAAAACAACGTTTCCCAAAAACAGGCTTTGCAAACACTCCCCATCTGCGTCTATTTGGACAAACAGATAGTTCTGTCCCAAAAATATCCCACTGATTGAACTGCACTTTTTTGCTTTTTCTAATGAGACATGACAGAAAGTTATGGGTCGCTGGGAAATGTTGCATTCTAAATTCAAACTCACAGTGCCTGCATGAGCACCAAGGCTCGACATGGCAAAGCAAATACTCTTACATCTACTCTAGTGAACCCAGACGAGACTTTATACCTTGATTCCGATAGTGATACCCTTGTCCTTTATCATCTTGACGAATGGGACTCCATCATCAGAGTTCTGGTAGAGTGTTTCGTGGAAGAAGATCACTCCGCCGATGCAGTTATCAATGCGGTCATCAGCAGTGAAGAGCACCTGTCGGTAGAGACGGCGGTTCTCCTCGTTGTTCTCTACTCCTATCTGGTTCAAACGCTTCCCCATGCTGCCTGTTAGAACATCCACAGGATCAAAGTGGGTTTTTGTGCTTTTCGTTCACACTGCATTTTATATCGACTAACTGGAGGAAGCCACACTAACCTATGGATTCGTCTGCAGCTAGGATGCCTTTCCCTGGTGACACTATGCGTAGAGCTATCTCATGTAGCTCCTTCTTTTGCTCAGTGGTGAGAGGAGGAAACTGATGGGTCATCCTAAATGTCTGACACAACCTGAGGATAGTGTAGAAACAGTAAATAAATACAACATAATCAAGATGGGATTTCAGTGACATCACAATATTTTGCATTCCTGCTTAAGTCATTTAAGCTTATAACAGGGTTTGTATGGTTTACATACAATGTAAGAAAATGAAATACAAGGTTATAAAACAGATAATATCCTTACGGAAAATTACCAGTGACTTTTTTTGTTAAGCTTGCAAACATTTCTTAAAACATAATGTGTAACTGGAAACACGGGTAAAAATCAATATGGAAAATTCCCTGGGTGCTATATTTTACGGGCTTTTTTATATTATAAAAAAATATTTTCATATTTTTTTATATAAATATCTTCTATATTTCTTAGAGTGTAGAAAATCCGGAAATATCAAGGAATTTTAAAATTGTGATTTCCAGGCCGGGATAAGTTATGGAAATTTATGAAATCTTAAAAAAAATTCTAGTCTAGTCTCTGTGAGTTTAATCTCTAGAAAATGATTTTTAAAAATCCTTATCTAGATAAACATGAATTAGATGCATTGAATTATTCTTAAAGATTTATACAACGTAAAATATATTTTTGTAAATAAAATAAAGATTATTGGAGTATATTTTACAAGAAAATACAATTTCACTTTCTGCTAAAATTTCGTGTTTAATTCAGTGTTACTTGCTTTGTAATTCTCTTTGTAATTATTTGTGACATGTACTAGCAATTTCTGAGTTTTTTCTTCAGTGTAAACAGCGTAGAATTGATACAAAGTTCTACCTTTTAAATGAAATAGCCATCAAAAACAAAGTTAAATAGATGCATCCAACACAATTGTCACTTAAAGGCACAGCAGCTCTTCTACTAAATGTTATTCAATTTAGAAATGCCAAATTCACATTAGCTTAATTAACAAAGATTTCTGCAACTCTGGCAAGTTATCCAAAGCCACAACTGAAGCACATAGACAGTTTAAAAGCCTCATGTATATATAAATTACTCTCTTTATGAATAACTAAGTCGACAAAGTACTGCAAAATATGCTATTTTTAAGATTTCTTAACTTTGGCAACTTCTTGAAAACCTTTTGAACCTTTAGCAGCATTTAAACAGCTGAAAAACTGATCGTGCATATATGATTCTAAGCATTAAAAATGATCCATACATTTTCTAAATGGTAACTTGCTTCTGAAAACATAACTTTTTAGTAATAAAACCCTTAGAAAGTTGTTTCACCGCTGCATATTTCACACAACAATTGAAATCCAAAATGGTGATGGCAATAAATTCAACAGCTGGAATTACTCACCAAATCAGAGCAGACTGAAGGACTCAGACCGAAGGGGCTTTTTCCTTCAGACAAGATGAGACGTGACTGATTCTTTAACAGTGCCAGTGTCCCAGTTCTTTATGAAGGTGATATCCCAGAGGATGATGACACTTGTAGGGCGGAGCTTATGATGCCCTCATTAAGTTACTGGAGGAGGTGTTAAAGGCCACCAAAGGTTGCCCACCTGATCCCATTTCTATAGCAGCATGGATTCTCATTATTTCATACACAATGCAATACCATATTTTTACTAGATTTTTTCAACCCAAAACTAGGGTTGAGTGTATGCATTTCAGGGTGTTGCTATGCACTCACAAAGTTGTTAGGGTAGTTGCATACTCAAAATAGTCCAGATATGGCTCTGATCCCTTGTTCAGTGTAAGTCAATTGAGACACAGTCATCTGCCAGGTGAAAATTGTAGCCTGTAAACCACATTATTTGAGGTATTATTATAACTTTGTAACCTGTTGAGTCCACATCCGTTTTTATTTTAATCTGAAGCAGGCTGTATTCCCGTCAACAATATAATTAGATCATATATGCCTCAGGCAAATCCTCAAATCTCTAGTCAGTTGAGACTCCCATCATACCCTTAGGAAAATGTTGGCAGTCACAGAGCGGCTGAGATTTTAGCATATGTGTGGTAATGAGGTGGGGTCATGGCATCATTTCTAGTTCTATACAGGTGAGTAGAATTTTTAGATGACTTTATGATCTAGTTTTCAAGGACAAAAAGGAGTCAAAGTTTGGAGATTCAGTTTACTAAAGCGTCGATCTGTTGTGAAATTATGTGATCAATGCTTTGAGATCAAATTGTAGCTTTAAGCGCAATTTGTTAATATCACATGTAATATGCATAGAAATAGCCAGACTGTTTTAGGAGCATGTTGTTCAATTCTTATTATGAAACCAATAAGGTACTGTAGATAAAAATGGCAGGTTTAGAGGGATACCCAATGTTTCATTATACATAAAGGACCGAACCCGTTGGAAGTAGACTCTCAGGAGAACTGTTAAGAGTTACGGATATTTTAAGCCACCTCTACTGGGGCTGTGATTTTTTTCCTGATACCTAATTAAAAACATTAATAATGATGCTTTATCTGGTGTTCAATTTTCAGCCCTATTAAGGCTGCTCCCATTTGGGTTTGTCATTGCTCTCACAAATAGGTCACACCAAAGTCTCAAAGTTAGAGAAATGTCTCCAGGTATCATTCACAGATATATATTTTACCATTCTATCTTTTGAATTGTATAGTGAAAGAAAGTTCTACTTTCGCCCTCCACATCAATTGATGAATGAGTTCTATTTTGGGGACATATGTTGAGAATGATCTTTACAGTACTGCTGTAAAATGTTCCCATATAATCCATAAATGGCATCAAATATTCAGATGCTTATTACCATAATAACTGCACTACACAGTATAAACTCAATTGTATTGCAATGCATTGTTTTATTGCTTAGCAAAGCACCTTACATTCCATTGTACATACTACTGTATATTTCACAGTATATTGATTCTTTGAATCAATATATCAATCAACATGTTTCATATATTGTGCATACCATTACATATTATTTCATAACCACTGTATATTGCATATCATTTATTGTACTTCTACGTTACAGTACCATAGATCATTGTGCTTGTACCTCAGTGATTTTCTGATTCACTCTGTGTTCCCAAAAGCAAACTTGGCCCTCTGTGAAGTGTATAAAGTAAAGTTGTAGCCTATTAGCATTTTATATGTATCCAACAATGGGAATTTTCACCATTTGTATTTAGGTTTTAGATATTTCATTGACTCTTTCTGCAGGTTACATTGATTCACAAATAGATGGCGACAGGTGAGTCTTTATGAGTCTCACTGAGTCAGGGTAGATCGATTTGTTCAAAACAGATTCATTTAGGAGTGAAACAAGTGGCATATCTTTATGAGCGAGATATCGAATCATTTACGTAACTGTTCTGTTTAAAAACATTTATTCATTCAAAAGTGAAACAAGTGATACATTTTGATTAGCGAGTAACTGAATCATTCAGTAAACCATTTCGTTAAAAAACACTGATTTATTCAGGAACCAAACAAGTGACTCGTCTTTATGAGCGAATCATTGAATCATTTAATCAACCGTTTCATTCAGAAACACTGATTTATTCAGGAGCGAAACAAGTGATACATCTTTATGAGCGAGTCATTGAATCATTCACTCAACAAATTTGTTCAAAAACACTGATTCTTTTCAAAACAAAACACCATTCCTCGAGTGTTGCATGGAAATGCACAGAAGTTGATTCTGCTTTGGCTTCATTTAGAACTATTATTTGCAAAAAAACGTAACTGGCAATATTGTGTCTAAAAAGTTCAATGTTAATATCACAATATACTTATGTGATGAGTTTTATTTGTCACAGTCAGATTATCACTCTTATGGTGCCACAGTAAACATGGCATCACTGTAACCGGCATGAATATAAAAATACATTTAAAAATGAGTTTAATTTAAATGATATACTCCTTTCCTTTATACACAGGAACTATAGTAAATAAAATCCAACAGTTCATATATTAAGGCAAATATTGCAAAACAGAGGTAACATTGTCAAAAATCTAATACACTTTCTGCATATTCAGATGAAAACAAAAATCTGATTTTTAAATAAAGACTAAAATAACTCAGTAGTAATACTTGTTATTGACTGGCTATTCACATAGATTGATTTGTTTGTGCTTTATGGTGAATTATCAGAAAAATACTGTGACATTTTACCTTGTCTTTGGAAAAACGATTGTTACAGAGAGAAAAAAATAGCTCTAACATTGTCAAAAATCTAATACACTTTCTGCATATTCAGATGAAAAAAAAAATCTGATTTTTAAATAAAGACTAAAATAACTCAGTAGTAATACTTGTTATTGACTGGCTATTCACATAGATTGATTTGTTTGTGCTTTATGGTGAATTATCAGAAAAATACTGTGACATTTTACCTTGTCTTTGGAAAAACGATTGTTACAGAGAGAAAAAAATAGCTAATTTATGTTTTCATGGAAAATTAGTTCCTATTGCTTTTGTTTTAGCCCCTGCTGTTTCTTTGTTTACCTTAATCTTCATCAAGGTAGGAGACAAATCTGCAGGGGTGGATGGAGAGTTCAGTAGGTCACACTAAAAATTCTGAAGCAGGTCTAATGATAAGCCTCGCATCGACCTTTCCGGTCGGTCAGGACGATTCTTCAGCTCGAGGATTGGCTGAATGGGACTTTGCTGCAGCAGCTGGGAATCAAAGGGCATGCCGTGGAAAAACGTCTGGCTTTGGAATCGCTCCAGGTGCTGTAAGCGACGTGTGGGGATCTTGCACAGAAGCTATATTCAAACATGATGAGAGTTTTAGGAAGACAGCTTTGAATATTTGCATAAACAACAGGGTTATATGCCATTCAGATTTGAAGGAGGTAGAAATCAAATGTAAAGAAATGTTGAGAAATTAATTTAAATTAGGTGTATTTTTTAAGTATGCATTTTTATTATGGATTACCTATAAATGAATATTTTAAATATTTTATTTTATATTCCGCATTTTATTTTATATTTATAAAAAAATGAATATAGGGTTTTAATATATAATATATAAATCTTAATATGGGGTACACTCATAAACATCAGATGATCTTAATAAAATACATTTTTTAAATTCTGTGTGTTACGGAATTTTTTTTACATGTTTTTGTATTTCACATAATACATGTGTTATGATCCAGCCCGTTTCCCTGTGAATTCTTATTTTGAAGTGCTTTTCTGCCCCCAGGATTTCTGTTTTCAGTTCCTGTTAACTGTTCTACCTTCTACCGTTTGTTGTCATATAGTGATTAATTGGTTTCACCACCTTGTTAACATACCCGTGTTTGCCTTGTTCAGTGTCAGTCTTTGTTTCCAGGTGTATGCTCCATTTCCGTGTTTCTGGTTCATTTCCCTGTGTTAGTTCTTCATTAGATCCTACTGCAAGTGGATCCTCCGCCTTGTGTTTCCGTGCCTCCATCGTTACAACATGTGATACATACAGTTAAACATGTAATACATTACAGTCTTTTTTATTGTATAATCTGCATATGAATATAAATCATAGTCAAAATCTATATACATGTAAATCAACATAATCGCTACAATTATTGACATTCATATTATCAATATTATTCAATTCAATAAAAAAAACGTTATTATCTATCAACCAGTGATAGAAATGTATCTTATGTAAATGTACTCATTTCCTATACTCATTATATACTCATAAATATACTCATTATTGACATTCATATTATCAATAATTGATATTCAGTTATTGATAATTACATTTATTGATATTCAGAAGCATACTTAAAGGGGTCATATGATGCGATTAAAATTTTTCCTTTCTCTTTGGAGTGTTACAAGCTCTTGGTGCATAAAGAAGATCTGTAAAGTTGCAAAGACTAAAGTCTCAAATCCAAAGAGATATTCTTTATAAAAGTTAAGAGTCAACCACATCTACCTAAAACGGCTCGTTCTAACACGCCCCCACATGTCTACATCACTATGTGGGAAGATTTGCATAACGCCGCCCAAATGTTCACGCAAAGAAAGAAGGCGTAACTTTTATTCTCGCTGTAGTATTGATGCTGCCGCCGCCGCCACCGCCATGTCGTGAAGACACTGTGTGTTTTGTTGTGAAAGTGAAACTACTTTGTTTGGTCTTCCAAAAGAGGACAAGACTAGAAATCAGTGGTTAAGTTGTATTTACAACACTGTTCCAGAACAGTTCAACCCAAATATTCAGATGTGTGCAGCACATTTTATGGAGGACTGTTTCCTGATCCTGGAAGAGTAGACTACAATGCCGGCTGTTCTGACTCACAGACTGTAAGTACGTTTTTTATATTTAAAGAATTTGCCACTGATGATTCAAACGTGAGTTTTGAGCAGTGTAGAGTAGCGCTTGTTGTTTGTCATTTCTCCGATCACAAATGCAGACGTGGTTTTATGTTTAAGCGGCGCGATGCAACGCGTAAAAAGACAGTATAAGTCATTGTAATCCGTAATTATGTCCCCACTGGATGCAACAAATACCTCGTTTATAATGGGTTTTAATGTTTTCGTCTCGTTGCTCCGGCCGGGACAAGGCATCACAGTGTAAGGGGCATAACATTTACGTCACACGGTTGAGGTATTCGGCCAATCACAACACACTGGATAGCTGGCCAATCTCAGTACACCTCGCTTTTCAGACCGATGAGTTTTGTAAAAATCGAAGCGTTTCAGAAAGGCGGGGCAGAGGAGAAACAATAATGTTCAGTATGTGGAAAATATTTTTTAACCTTAAACCACATAAACACCAAATACACAAAATAATGTTCTTTTTAGCAACGTCATATGACGCCTTTAATACAATAAAAATATTGTATTGAGTATCCTTATGAATATCAATCAAGAGTCACACTGTTGTGCAAATAAACACCCAAATAAATAGACAAAAAAAAATATATATTTTTAATGATACATTTTTTGTGTGAATTAGCAATAAATTATTTTTTCAACATAAAATATGGGGTATTTCAATAAACATTATAAAATACATTATAAAAGTGTATCAATGTTTTAAACACATTATACAACTAACATCCATAAATAATAAATGTTAAAAACATATAATTTATGAATGTATAATAATAATAATAATAATAATTAGTAGTAGTACTAGTAGTAGTAGATGCAGGAGTAGTAGTATTATTTATGGATTTAAGATGATTATGAATTATATTAATACAAATATTAAAACATGAATAATTACATTTTGTACATATATTTATATTTTAAACATACATAATACAATTATATATGTAATATATTATTGTCTTTTATTGTGTAATGCGTGTTTATAAATATCAATCATAATTAGAAGAAAGAAAGAAAGAAAGAAAGAAAGATTATGTATAGCAGCTGACCTCTAAGAGCAGGAAGGTCAGAGTTGGACTGAGGCTTGCATGCATGTCATATGGACACTCACTGACACTGGTCAGCATATCACAGTGATCTGCTTCTGCAGGCAGAGGAAACAAAAAATCAAAATAATCGAGAAAAGACTCTATAAGTCTGTATAAGCAGCCTGAAGCACTTTCTACACATCACTGAGATTGTACAATGCTCATCTTGCAGTATGGCCTCTGGATATGTCTCACCCCTCCAGTGGTTAAAGCGTAGAGAAGAACGCCAAGAGACCACCAGTCTGCAGCGTGGCTGTACGGACCGCCGCTCAGGACCTCAGGAGCTGTTTAATGACCACATCATGTAATTAAATATCCATTTTTACAGAAATAGTTCATTTGCATGTCTTTAGTTACTGCTAGATATAGCTGATGATAAACACTGTCTCCTTTCCCTTGCAGTTCAGATTCCAGCCTCACCGCAGCTAGTAAAAGCTCTATCCCCACACTCAAGACGGCGAGACAGCCCGAAATCAGTCAAGTGGAGGTGACCTAAATGAGACGGCATTAATATTTCTATTCCAAAATTCCCTTTACCAAATCTAAATGAGTGCTTCATAGTTGGGATGGACACAATGTTATTTTCTGGATTTTTTTTTTTGATTCGGTCTCTCACAGTTGAGGTGTACCTACGATGAAAATTACAGATCTCTCCATTCTTTGTAAGTGGGAAAACTTGAAAAATCGGCAGTGTATCAAATACTTATTTGCCCCACTGTATATGGTCCTTGTTTTGGCATATGTGAAAAATATGCAAATCTGTGGTTTCTGAATACGCTTGCTTTTTAGAATATGATATGAATTAGTAACTTGGATGAACTGTCTGCATATATGTTCATATCAATTAAGCACATTTTTTAAAATATATTCCTGACTAAGTTATGTTAGAATCATTATTATACTCATACCTTTTGTTCTTTTAATATTTTGAATTGTTTTTAGCTTTATTTTAGTTTTAATTACTTTTTCTTATTTGTAAGTCGCTTTGGATAAAAGCGTCTGCTAAATGACTGAAAGTAAAAGTAAAGTAAATTATTATTTCGTTTTTATTCTGCTTTCTAAAGACTGGTCAGAAATCCTGAAATTAATCTTTTTTTATATATAAAAGATATTTTATTTTATTATTTATATTTTATTTTAACATTTTAAGAGGTTTATCCTCAACACAGTCATCTTTAGCTTGCTCACTGAAGGATTAATGGCAATATGGTCTGGAAGAATATTTATATATATATACACTGATATAAATTAAATTCTAACATAACTATATATATATTTATATATATAGTCCATTCAAATGTATACATTTAATTGATATATTAAGTTAACATGTACAAATAAAACCTTACAAAACACATTTTTAGTGCATATTTTATATTTAGTTTACCATAAAAGCTTGTCAGTACCTTCGGCTGTACAAAAGAGGTAATTATGAAATTACATATAAATATATAATGAAGTCCTACTTAAGTTAATCAAAAAAGCATACTTAAGTTCAATTAATAGCATTTAATATACATTTAAACTCTAATACATCTTCATTTAATTTCAATTAACATTACATCCAGTTCACACTTAAATATATTCTATTAAAGTATATTACTCAAAATAAATTTGCTCTTTAAAAGCATGTTACTTTTTCATTTCAGACATTTCACCCAAAAATTAAAATGGCCATCATTTACTTTCCCTCATTTTATTCCAAACTAAAGGTACATTCTTCAAAATCTCTCTTTTTGCCTACCACTGAAGAAAGAAAGGCAGAGTAAATGATGTAAATTTGGGTGATTTATGTGAGGATTATATGACTTGTGGCAATGAACTACCTGTAAATACTTATGCCCAGTAAACCTGGGAGGAAATTCTGGCAGGAAAATGGAAATAAAGCCTGGCAGTGTCCACTCTAGACGAGGCCCCTCAGGGTTTGAGTCTGAGGGCCGAGATTGCTCAGAGACGGGGTATTCTCTGTGCTGGGCGCTGCGTCTAAATAGACTGTGATGAACAAGCTGAGCCGGGAGAGACAGGAAGCCCTGATGACATGACAGGGATCTCCTCTTTACCACTGACGCGGATTCCTGCAGCAAAGATGACATTGATTGATAAATCACTATACAAAATCACTTATGATAACATAAAGGCTAATGCTTTACAGATCACTAACTAGTTGTAAAGCAACTAGTGAACTAGTGACACTAACTAGGATATAAACCTAACAGACCACTCAGATCATTAGGATCGAGTCAGTTAGAAATACCGAGGGTTCACACAAAACAAGGGGAATGTGCTTTTAGTTATTATGCCACCCGCAGTTGGAATCAGCTTCCAGAAGAGATCAGATGTGCTAAAACATTAGTCACATTTAAATGCAGACTCAAAACTCATCTGTTTAGCTGTGCATTTATTGAATGAGCACTGTGCTATGTCCGAACTGATTGCACTATATTTTATGTATAATCGTTTTCTATTCTTAACTCTTTTAAATTCATTTTAAACCTCTTAAATCAATTTTTCAACATTTTCAAATTCCTTGTTTTATTGTTGTGATTATTTTTTTCTTTTCTTTTACGTAAAGCACTTTGAATTACCATTATGTATGAAATGTGCTATATAAATAAACTTGTCTTGCCTAGTGTGTTCAAATGTAAATATGCAACAGCCCCCCCCCCCCAAAAAAAAAATACTTAAAGGGAAAGTTCACCTAAAAATAATAATTCTGTCATCATTTACTGGCACTCAAGTTGTTCCAAACCTGTAAGAGTTTCTTTCTTCTGTTGAACATAAAAGAAGACATTTTGAAGAATTGTGGTAATCAAACAGTTGATGGACCCCATTGACTTTCATAGTAAGTAGAAGAAGAAGAAGAAAAAATACTATGGAAATCAATGGAGACCATCAGTTGTTTGTTTGGTTATTTTTTGGTAAACTATCCCTTTACTTAACATTTAAAATATATACATTTAAAAAAGTGCCGTTGCATATTAAACAGTAAAATATAAAATCAAGTTGCATTTCATGATCACAATTAATGTACGGGGCGACCACAGTGATTGTAACATACAGACAGTAGCTCGCACATCATATGGGCCTACAGATCAAAAATACGCTGTCCTGTGATTTATCCGTAGCATATATTCCTTTCTGTTTTTTTGAAGTAATTAAAAGCCATGCACAGACTATAGTACTATTTAACACGCAACCACGCTCTCACAAATGCATTCAAATATCCTGATGGTGCGCCCATTGTCAGCAACATTGTCATATTTAAAGGGAAATTTAACCTAAACATGAAAATGCTGTTATCATACTCGGGGTTTAGAATGTAAAAAAAAAAAAAAACAACCAGGCTCAACCAGCTTAATTAGGCTTTTACATTTAATGCTTCTGAACTGAGAGCAGTTTATGCTCTGCCTGAAATTGACCTCAACAGTATATGAGCACATCAGGAGAAGATTCCTGCTCAATGGCTCTTGAGCTAATAAAATCTTTCATTTTTGAAGCTGACAAGCTAGAATCAGCAGCATCTCAGACATTATTGAAATGATACAGAAGATAACCACAGATACAAAAATATCAGAAAATACTTTGTGTAAAAAGTGCCATAGAGTTAAAATGACAAAGCATCAATCAGACAGGGTGCAAATATGGCATAAAACAAGGTGCTTCCCATGATGCCCCACTGCTCCACAAGCAGAAGATCCTAGTAGTTAGTACAGTAAAACAGTGGTCAGCTAGCTAATATCATGTCCAATTTAACACTGAGCTCAAATGAGGCCAAATTCTTGATTCTTTTCAGTGACTTTCACTAATTGTGGGATAATATGGGCTTCCAGTATATGTGAATTTCAGATTCTTCTTGCTTTTCCATGTGGCTCCTTCAAGATTCTGGCCTACAAGAATCTCCTGATCCAGCAGGAGAGACGTCACAATGCTCCAAACACAAAACAGAGATGAACCGTTGAATTGTAGGACACTGTCTTGAGCTTGAGCCTCTGGCTTGCATAGTTGGGGACACTTCATTTCCAGCGATACCGTTGACTTGATTGCAAATGATTGCAAAGATACTATTTAAACTGAACTGAGCTGGATGATGACATCACTGAATTGAATGATGAACTGTCTTTAACTGAAAAATGAGTGTTTATTATTGTCATTTTGCATTATTGACACTATTTTCCTAATTAATGCTGTTCAGTTGCTTTGACACAATCTGTATTGTTAAAAGCGCTATATAAATAAAGGTGACTTGACTTGATAAAGATGGTTTAATGCTGTATGTAGTTAATTGAAATATGTTGAAATGATGTATGGCACAAAAGCAGCACATTAAAACTTATGTTAGGTGTACAGCACTCATTTTAGACAGTAGAATGACAATCCCTTCTTCCATAGCAGGACCAGCACCTGCAGTCATGGCTTGCGCGTCCACACCCAGCGCGGACATTTAAAGGCACCACTGGTGAAGAGGAGAGAGACCTCGGACTTGGTTTAGTTATCTTCCATCCCTTCTCCTGCAGACTGGATCTCGGTAAGGTTCAGCAACGCTTCTTCAAGACCAGCATCTCTGTGAAGGAGCTTCACTTGCGGCGACTGAAGATGCTCTTTTTGCTGGAGCTCTTGTCGGCGGTGCTGAAGCCGATCAGAAGCCTTGCTTTCTCGTCCTCCACCTGCTGCTGGAGGCTGCTGTCTGTTTTCCCATCCGTCACTTTACCTCGAGACTCTGAGCCCGAGGCGGGTTTCAACCGCAGCTTCTCCTTTATCATCTATTTATTTGGGACAAAAGTTTAATGGAATCTGAACAGAGGCCTACTACTACATTCTTATATGTAGTTTAAAGTTGAGTTTGGGACTGAGGACTTTGCGAGTGATTACCTGTGCGACCAGTGCCTTACGACTGTCTCTCTTCACAGCCATAGCAAAGTCCAGCCAGGTCCAGGTGTTGTTATGATACTCCAAACCGGGCAGAACCAGGTTCAGATCCTTCCAGTCTACACTGCTCTTCTCCCCCTACAGGTACACCGCAAGAGAAATGCATACAGTCAGACTCGGGAATGTGATAAATTGAATATCAACAACACATATATGCAAAAATAACAATTTGCTGTGGAGGTCAAATGAAGCAATACTGTAAATAATAGAATGATTATATTGCGCTTTTTATTAGGCTGTTATGCTTTCTAAAGGCAGTGTCATTTCATGATGACTCCTCGTCTTGTAACTCAAATCTCTGAAATGGTGTTTGATTTGCCAATTAATTTCCTTAAAACATGATAAATATCACTGTTCCTTGTTCATTTAGTGAATAATAAAATTGTATAAAATACATTTTTACTGAACTTTTATTATTAACACTCATTTTATTAAATATTATTTACTGTATATAATACATTTTTAACCTAGTTGGTTCAATGGCTGCTTGGTCAAAATGATGACAGGAAAAAAAAGTCAATTATTTTTAGGCCAAATACTTAACTACTGAGCAATATTTAGCTAAATGAAACTATATATCCATATACAGTATATATATATATACATATGTATATATACACACAGTATACATATATATAGTCCAATTTAACACTGAGCTCAAATGAGGCCAAATTCTTGATTCTTTTCAGTGACTTTCACTAATTGTGGGATAATATGGGCTTCCAGTATATGTGAATTTCAGATTCTTCTTGCTTTTCCATGTGGCTCCTTCAAGATTCTGGCCTACAAGAATCTCCTGATCCAGCAGGAGAGACGTCACAATGCTCCAAACACAAAACAGAGATGAACCGTTGAATTGTAGGACACTGTCTTGAGCTTGAGCCTCTGGCTTGCATAGTTGGGGACACTTCATTTCCAGCGATACCGTTGACTTGATTGCAAATGATTGCAAAGATACTATTTAAACTGAACTGAGCTGGATGATGACATCACTGAATTGAATGATGAACTGTCTTTAACTGAAAAATGAGTGTTTATTATTGTCATTTTGCATTATTGACACTATTTTCCTAATTAATGCTGTTCAGTTGCTTTGACACAATCTGTATTGTTAAAAGCGCTATATAAATAAAGGTGACTTGACTTGATAAAGATGGTTTAATGCTGTATGTAGTTAATTGAAATATGTTGAAATGATGTATGGCACAAAAGCAGCACATTAAAACTTATGTTAGGTGTACAGCACTCATTTTAGACAGTAGAATGACAATCCCTTCTTCCATAGCAGGACCAGCACCTGCAGTCATGGCTTGCGCGTCCACACCCAGCGCGGACATTTAAAGGCACCACTGGTGAAGAGGAGAGAGACCTCGGACTTGGTTTAGTTATCTTCCATCCCTTCTCCTGCAGACTGGATCTCGGTAAGGTTCAGCAACGCTTCTTCAAGACCAGCATCTCTGTGAAGGAGCTTCACTTGCGGCGACTGAAGATGCTCTTTTTGCTGGAGCTCTTGTCGGCGGTGCTGAAGCCGATCAGAAGCCTTGCTTTCTCGTCCTCCACCTGCTGCTGGAGGCTGCTGTCTGTTTTCCCATCCGTCACTTTACCTCGAGACTCTGAGCCCGAGGCGGGTTTCAACCGCAGCTTCTCCTTTATCATCTATTTATTTGGGACAAAAGTTTAATGGAATCTGAACAGAGGCCTACTACTACATTCTTATATGTAGTTTAAAGTTGAGTTTGGGACTGAGGACTTTGCGAGTGATTACCTGTGCGACCAGTGCCTTACGACTGTCTCTCTTCACAGCCATAGCAAAGTCCAGCCAGGTCCAGGTGTTGTTATGATACTCCAAACCGGGCAGAACCAGGTTCAGATCCTTCCAGTCTACACTGCTCTTCTCCCCCTACAGGTACACCGCAAGAGAAATGCATACAGTCAGACTCGGGAATGTGATAAATTGAATATCAACAACACATATATGCAAAAATAACAATTTGCTGTGGAGGTCAAATGAAGCAATACTGTAAATAATAGAATGATTATATTGCGCTTTTTATTAGGCTGTTATGCTTTCTAAAGGCAGTGTCATTTCATGATGACTCCTCGTCTTGTAACTCAAATCTCTGAAATGGTGTTTGATTTGCCAATTAATTTCCTTAAAACATGATAAATATCACTGTTCCTTGTTCATTTAGTGAATAATAAAATTGTATAAAATACATTTTTACTGAACTTTTATTATTAACACTCATTTTATTAAATATTATTTACTGTATATAATACATTTTTAACCTAGTTGGTTCAATGGCTGCTTGGTCAAAATGATGACAGGAAAAAAAAGTCAATTATTTTTAGGCCAAATACTTAACTACTGAGCAATATTTAGCTAAATGAAACTATATATCCATATACAGTATATATATATATACATATGTATATATACACACAGTATACATATATATATATATATATATATATATAATTTTATAATTTTTTTTATTTACACATCAAACTAATCAAAAGTTACAGTAAAGGCATACAAAAATCTTACAAAAAGCTACAAAAATATATATATATATATATATATATATATATATAATTTTTTTTATTTACACATCAAACTAATCAAAAGTTACAGTAAAGGCATACAAAAATCTTACAAAAACAGTAAATGCTACAAAAAAGTTATATTTCAAATAATAGCTGTTATTAGCTTTCTATTTATCAAAGTATCCTGAAAAAAAAGTGTACACAAAAATATTAAGCAGCACAAGTGTTTTCAACTTATAATAATATAAGAATGTTTCTTGAACAAGCTAATCAAATCAGCATATTAGAATGATTTCTGAAGGATCATGTGACACTGAAGACTATATCACTTTTGCTAGGACCAACCTTGTAACTGACACAAAGGGGAACCTGAGGAATCTTGATGTAGATGAAAGAATTATTCATTGCTGCTCTTTCTTTCATCTTATCAATGTCATCAACGGGATGCTGAATGGGGAAGACATTAACAGGCTAAATAACTTGGTTACACTCAATTTGTGACTTCCAACTGAGATATTATATTCATTACAGACCGCAAATAATGATCTGTGATTAATAAAAAAAAAAATCAAAAGACAATATCCATCATAAGCAGACAAATGAACTGTCATCCCATTGAAATAATACCTCAGGTGGTTTGCGAAATGACCTCCTGACTCCAGCTGTTCGATTTAACCCTTGCGTGACCCCCTTCCCGGGTCCAAGCCCTCCTATGGAGTCTTCAGACAGCTGCCTGGGTTTCACAACACCTGCGATTTAAGAAGAAAACAAGCCTTAGACACTCCACAATGCACATGAAAGTCACCCTGAAGCCATTCCAGACACTAAACCTTCCCATGTCAAAGAGCGATGAGCTTTTAATAGCCCAGCATGGGCCATCAGTGTGACATAACATCAGCAGACAGCAATCTAATACCCTCACTGGAGCAAAAAATCTATGTAAACTGATATTGATCAGCATGGGCTGCACTATGGATGTCAGTACAGCGAGTGCAAAGAGTGGTTAAACCATGAATGTAAAGACCAATTCTGGCTTTCAAGAGGATCAGCGTTTGTTTTTCCACTTCTTGTACTTTGATGAATTATAATTATTACTTGCATATGATGTGATTGTGAACAAAGTTGAGTATCCCTGTTGTGGTGGGAAGGTCATATGCTCATGACGAGAAAAACTTCACAAACCTGTAGTAACCAGTCTGAACTTGTCTTCCTCATCCCCAACTTCCTCTTCTTCCACATTTCGTCCAGGGAAGAAAAATCCCATCATCCTCTTGAAGAACTGGTACATGAGCTGAATGGTGAGTGGTACCACATTTACCTACAAATACAAACAGATTTTTTAGAAAGAAGAGGACAGCTGTATGTGTGAATAGCATCCTCCAGAGTTATGATGCAAACAGGAATGGATTTCATGATAGTGACCTCAAAGTGCTCTTTGACGGAAATCCCTCCCACCGGTGGGCGGACCTTACTGAAGATACGGAGGGCAAGCTGGCGTCCTGATTGGCAGGGGCTCTGAGGGCGCAAAACCACCTACAACATAGAATGAGAGCAAAATTACACTCACCTGACTGAAGTACTTGTGTTTGTTTAGATGCAAACCATGAAACAAAGGAAAACATGGAAGACTTGGATGCATATCCTGCTGGTCAAACCCAACTGAAAATGATTGGACAGACGTAAAAATATTAAAAAAGATGTAAAAGGGGAAGGAAATGCAACTAGCCTGCGATATCAAACTACAAGTGAGAATGCAGGTGAATTTTGTCCAAACAGGAACATAAACTTTCTGAGCAGGCATATGTCTGGATGAGGATGAAGGTGTCGACTAACAAACATAGGATTTTACCCACTCAATACATACCCTTACATGCTGCACAAGAGAAACCAAGAGTTATAGGATTAACAAATAGCAGAGATGTGCAAAATGCTACAATGTTCAAAATTAACTAGCTGTGGGTTGTCTGAATGACTAGTTGAAAGCCCTGTATAATTAGGCTGGTTTAGGGTCATGTTCACAAGACAACGGTCTAACATGTTGCTTAGGAATGTACGGAGAACACTCTCATAGTCCTCACAAAAAGTGGATTAAAATAATGTGAACATTGCTCTCATCAGACAATTTCATGTTCGACAATAACTGTTGTTATTGCTATAATAACTGAATTTGCTGCTAAGGCAGTGTTATGATGGCTCAACATAATCCATATCAATACTGATTATATCTAGTTATGATAAAGATGTTTCAAATTAAAATAACCATAATCTCTATATCATTTACCTTGGATGTAAATCTTGGGAGTCAAAACGCTCAAAAAATAACCAACTAGATGACCCCTAATTAATCAACTAGTTGGTTGTTGGACAACTAAACTAGGCGACCATCAGGGGACAGGATGGTTGACGACAAGCCTACTAATTGTCACACAAGAATAAAATTCTAACTACTCGATTTGTTGATACCTGATTAATCGATTAGTTGGTTGTTGGATACATTAGAAAACTAAGTGACAGGATGGTTCATCAAAGGTCAGGATGGCTAACTGGTTGTCTAACTAGAATACTGTTAACATGTTACCTTAAAAATAACAGTTAAATGCTAACTATGTCTTTTTTAATATTGTGTTTATTGTAGTATTTTCAATTTTAATTGTCGAGCTGACCTCTAACTAATTGTTTGTTGGACAATTAATACTGTAGACTGTAAATGGAAAAAAAAAATCTACATGCACTAAACCAGCTCCCTATGCAGTTTTCAGTTCAGACTGCATTGAAACATGTGTAAACAACCACACAGAGCCATTTGCAGAAGTTAGAGATCAATAACAGCAGAGTTTGTAATGACACATCTCAACTGTCACATGGTTTTGTTATTTCCCCGACTTGGACATCCAGTGTGAATCATTAAGCAGCAGTACCTTGTACACAGCATTGGGAAGCAGGTTATTCATGGTGAACCAGCCCAATTCCAGGAGATGCTCTGCTGTGTCATCAGACTTATTCAACTGTGGAAGAGAACATCCCATTAAGAGATCTGTAGCCAATGACGCACACTCACATATACAGTAGCTAAAATTTTACCAATGATTAGCAAAGGACATTCAGCAACTTCAACCAAAACCTCTGGATTGTGAGTCCTTGCAGACATACCTTGCTGTACATGAACCTCTGCAGTTCAAGTTCAGCTATACCCAGCTGCCCATCTTCTTCTGTGAGACACCAGCGGGCCTGAGCGAAGTAGATCTCGGTACGACGCGCAACGCTAACGTCTTCTGGGGGTTTCCGCAGCTCCAGTTTGTTTGCCCTTTGCAGCTGGAAGTCCTTAAAACACCTTAGAGGAGGCAAAGAACATTGATATATCCAAACATTTTGAACTAATATTTGCTAATGAATGATCAACTGCTAGAATCGAGCTAGTGACCAACCGGATGAGGATATTGAGCTCCTCACTCTTCATCTGCATGTCTGTCTTCTCCTGGTTGAGCTGATTCTGCAGGCGCAGGTTGATGTCGGACAGCTCGTCTCCTCTGAACTCTTCTGACTGGGACTGTAAGAGTCAGATAAAAGGTCATTATGAATGGACCTCAGAGTAGTCTGGAGGACATGACCTCATATGAAAAGCTATGCATATGGCTGATGGTTCAGGTGAACTAAACTGAACACACTAGACCGGAGATGTACACTAACCCTCATGTTGGAGTAGATCTGTTTCTCCAGGCAACGGATCTGAGCCAAATGCTGGCGTACCGCTTCCTGAAGGTGCAAGATACTGCTACGCTGCTCCTCAGGGTTGCTGGAGATCTCTAGCTGGAAACGCACACGCTGCTTCCTCTCGCTGTGCTCCTAAACAAAGCAAAAGATCTGGCAGATCAGCACACAACACAAGAACTCATTCAAAAACTGGTGTCCAGACCAATTACAGTTAGTTCGGACCTTGCGCCGGGGCTCCACGTGGAGCAGCAGATTATTGACTATGTCCAGGATCATGGAGTACTGCACAGGATTGGTGGAAATTTCCAGGTCATTGTGGATGAGGGTGAAAGTGTCGACTGCACCTGATATGACCGGAACAACGAAACAATATATCTGTGACAGAACAACTACCAGCAACTTAAGTCAGTTCCTGTTTCGCTTGAGGTCACAAACCAGCCTGTTTCTTTAAAAGGTCCTCCTTCTCATGGCGGTCACTGATCTCTGGCGGTTTGATGGAGGTGGCCAGTTCAGGGTCGATGTCGTGGCTGTACCCGATGTAGTACATGCGACAGCTACAGCGAGAGATGATGCGCTGGACCTGCTGGGTCTCCTGCACTTGGGACGGCTGGTTCCAATCTAAACCAGTGCAAGAGTAAACAGGTCAGGTAAACTAGACTGTGGCTGCTGATTGGACATGCAAAAGTTGTTGCCACAATGCTACAAGGACGAGAGGTGGGCCAATTGTAGTAAAATGAATGGAAGAAATTGTAACACTCATTGGGCTTGTCCCAAATGGAATCTGAAGCCCTCACGTTCATCCAAGTCTACACTTTTGTGATGTAATGTTGGGTAAAAGTCTACTGCAGAGCTCGCCTCAGTGTGGACTTGGCAGAAGAATGCATCAATGTCGCATTGCGGTCTCAAAGTAGGCACTGTGAGAACCTTTCTGAAGCCTAAAATGACAAATGAGACACCCTATGGCAGGGGTAGGCAACGTCGGTCCTGGAGTGCCGACGTCCTGACGAGTTTAGTTCCAACCCTAAAAAAAAAAAACCTCACCTGCCTTAGTAATCCTATAGAAATTGATTAGCTTGTTCAGGTGTGTTTGATTAGGGTTAGAGCTAAACTTTGCAGGGCAGCGGCACTCCAGGACCGACGTTGCTTATTCCTGCCCTATGGTCTTGTGGATTTAATGGGCATGGACATGTGGTAGCCTTTGTAAGTCCGCAAAGCTGGATGAGAAAGTCATCTCAACTCAAACTCAAGTTTGGTGGCCCTGCTTTAGGGTCTTCTGAGTGTTTTTTAACAAGCTACTATGCAGTTGCCAGGTATTTTGGGCAGTTGCTAGGGCAATGCAAGGTGGTCCATCCCAAGAGCTAAATGTTGTTATGAACTCGAGAGTTAAAATGGCACACCTGTGGTGGTGCTGACCATGCCTCCAACAGCCTGGCCACTCTCCATCAGCTCCTGCACTAAGTTAAAGTTCCTCTGCCTGTGTTCTTCGATGTTCTTGACCTGTAGGTCCACAAAATGAGATTTGATTGCTTTAATGCAATGTTTCATTGTTATAAATGCTATTTGCATGATAACTGTACTTCTGAACCCACCTCCAGCCACAGCTGCCAGTCCTCCTGTTCAGAGAGGTTTTGCTCCATGGTGGCGAAGTACTGCATACCATCCAGCAGACACGTCCAAGTGGTCTTCTGCTTGAGTGTGTCGTTGTACCAAGCAGGATGGTGCTCACATTGCAGTAGTTGTGCCTTGGCGGCAGATACCAGCACGCAGCCGGCAGTCTCAGTGCCTCGAAGCATCATCTGAACACCATGCACATGGGAAGATGTTTAGACCTGCTAATACAGCATCTTGCACTATGGGTTACTGCTCTCAAAGGTGAATCCATACCTGACCATTGACGAGCTCTATGAACCAGTTGCGGTTGTAAACATCATCGGTCTGGCACGCAGCAATTCCACAGAGCTGGTCGCTCACTCCTGCGTCCTCTTCGGAGAAGACCACAAACTTATCTGTCTCCTCAATAAGCTTCTGTAACATGGATGTTCCTAAAAAAGACCACAAAAACACATCAACTAGGGCAAAAAAAAGCCTAGATACACTGAAGACTCAGCAATTCCAATCGGCAAAACTTTTTTTATTAGTCTGGAAAAACAAAACAAAACTGGCAAGTGAGCTCCAATATGCTCCAATACAATATAATATGGATTTATTTGGGCCGACAGTCACAAGAGACTACCTTCATTCTGACTCTTCTCTGGGCGAGCAGTTGTGGTGATTACTGGTGTAGCGGGAGCCGTGTTTGAGGAGTAGCTGGACATGGAGCGTTTCAGCTTTTTCATCTGCAATTGGGTGTCGATCCGCAGACCCTTCAGAGCCTCGGTGGAGAGGTTTCTCTTCAGCACAGCTGCTTTTTTATAGCCGTCATACAAACCAAAGGCAATATTCCGGTTGGTGGTGGTCCAAGAGGCCCTCAGGTCCACCAAACACAACTTGTGTGTGTAGGAAGCATTGCTCTCGTCTTTTGAGTTTACTTCCTGAGACAATTTAAGCAGCGATATAGTTGGTTTGTCATTAATAAAGGCCTATTCACATTGGGGACAAATTTTTGCCACAAACTGTGTCAGGAAAAACTTATAAATGATATATTTTTATTTCTTGTAGATAAATTACGCAATAAGAGTGTCTCACCTCCTCTATGCGGTTACTCTGTCTCTGGTAGCTGAGTGAGGACAGGCTGAGCAGGTGGGTCTTCTTCACCTGGGCATTGATCTGGTGGTCGGCAGTCTCGTCCCATGTGGAGGCCATGAGGTGCACGGTGACCAGAGAGAGCTCGCTCACCATCTGAGTAACGTTCCACTCGGAGATAAGTCGTCTCATCACAGTGCCAGCTGTAATACATGCATCGATCATTTCAGCAGAACATTTCAACAGTGTGTCAAGTGGAGAGGGTGACTGAGACGGTTTGCTCTCTCACCCTGTGGGATGAGCCTCTGTGCTCCTCTGGTGAAGACATGACCTTTACTGCACTCCACCTGAATGCCTCTCTGCTGAGCAAACGATGCCCAGTAATGGACCTGCACAGGAACATTAAGACAGGCTAAACCTTGCATATATTTCATCACATTTATGTATTAACTCATTAATCTTTCCAATATGACCTTTCAATGATAAGAATCCTTTGATTGATAAGAATACACTATTATATGTTGGTGACTGACCAATATATATACACAAGCTTATAAAATGTAAAATATATTTTATTATTTAATTATAAAATAATAAATAAATATACATGAAAAGTAAATTAAGCATAAATATAAATATTTTTTATTAAAAAATCACAACTGTTTTATTTCAGCTATATGTTTTTGAGCATCATCTAAAAGACAAGTTAGAAATTAACTAATGTGAAAAGGGAGGCAGGCATAAAGTATGGTTTAACAGAGGCAGGTGTGTCACCTGTAGCTGTGGGAAAGATGCCGTATAGGACATCTGTTTGTAGTGCTGGCCAAGCTTCCTGCGGTTGGGTCTGAGGCTGTGGAAGAGCTTGCCTCTGCAGATGGGCCGGGACACGCTGGTCCAGGTGGCCCAGAAGTTCTGCATCCAGCGCAGGGTGCTGCTGTAGAGAAGGATTCTGGGCTGACTGAGCTCTGAGAGAAAACACGAACACAAGCCTTTAAAACCAGAGCTGAAATTACCTTCAAGCCTGGAATACACTACATGACTTTTGCAACGATTTTCAGTCTGGACAACGCTAGTTGCTGTTCCGATTTTAAAAGTTGTGTAGTATTTATCAGCTTTTACAAAAAAGGCTATAGTTCTAACCTTTGCCACAGTGCTGGTCGAGGTCCATGGTGATGGAGAGGTTGAGGTTTTCAGAGCGAAAGGCCCTATAGGAGTCGTGCGGCTGGCCTGAGGTGACATCCGCAACGTTCTCCGCAGCACAGAGCATTACGGCATGGTGGTCATGTGGATTACCATGGCATAACCACTGGAGGTCAAGGGTCATACATAGGCTCGGGAGGCGCAGGAAGCAGATATCATCATACCTGTATAGAAACGGACCAGACAGATTTAAATAATCAAACTTAAATCAAAATGTCACATTGTAATGCAATGTAACTACTAGTCAGGTACTTGGAGGCTGTTCTAACGTTGACGTCCAAGTCACCCTTGAAGACAAACTGCCCAGGATTCCAGTCAAAGTTCAGCTTGCTCCACTCCCAGTGAAGGTTCTCTGTGGTGTTGTAAGGGTCCTACACAAATAAAATATTATAGTTAGCATTAGATATTTACAAGCGTGACGGGTCTTTAGCAAGGAGCCTGGGTGTGTTTGTTAGTACCTCAGTAGCGAGCTGATGCAGGTTGGCCTGATCAATGTCCATTACCCAGCGGCCATGCAGAAGTAGTCTGCTTTTATCCCACCAGGCCAGAAGGGGGGACGGGTCAGCTGTGGGTTTAGTCAGTAAATCAACAGCCTGGCCAATCAGCGTCCAAGCAGGATCCCAGCATGGCCCCCACACAATGGTGTAGAGGGAAATGTTCGCTGTTTGAACAGTTAGACCGGGTGAGTCATATTGTTGCAACATCACATTACAGACTTACAAGATCAAGAGAGTGTTGTGACTCACAATGGACGTCGTAGTAGAACTTCAGTGGTGGCATATTCCTGTAAACCGTCACATCCCCCCATGGCTGGCCGAGCTGGACCACCTGTTTGCGCTTTGCTCTCAGCTGCCCGTCCTGCTCGGTGCCCATCAGACGTCCCGACAGCGACCAATCTCTGATCTCAAACAGGTACCGAGGATAGTCCCGGATTCGCACTGAACCACACAGGAAACAAGAATGTTAGCCATCACGGACTCTCATAAGTGACTAAAAATAGCACTTTACACATGTAGCACTCCGCAAACAACACTTACAATTGATTCGAATATGTTGCTATGCTAATAGCTCAATACTCTAATAAGTATAAAAATACAAGGGCACAAATATTGAGTCAATTCTGAATTAAACTGAAGCAATTTTAACAACACTAATCTAATGTATTGATTCATTCAGTACATTCAGTAATGAATTGATTTATAATTGCGTCTGCTAAATGACTAAATAAATAAAAAATTAAAAAGTTGGAGCTAAACTCTGCAGGACATTGAACACGTCTGTTTTGAAGCATGCTAGACTTACCCAGAAATGCATTAAGCTTGAATTTAAAAGCACGGCACCACTGGATCACCAGCTGCAGGCCATCTCTAGGGAAGGGGCTGATGCCATCGATGTCCCGCAGCTGCTCTCGGATCCGCTCAGGCCCGTGCAACGACTGATCCGCAAGCGCCACAAGCTCCAACTCTGACACAGTCCAGGTGAGCAGCGACTTGCGCATGGGTGTGTTGGAATACAGTCGCTTGGACCGCTGAATGTAGATCTCAATGTGCTTGCGCTCAAGGGAGGTGTAGAGCTCCTCGATCTTACGGGCCGGCAGGAGCTCGCCGTGCTGCTTGCGTAGGTCGGCCACTTTCTTATCTAGCAGCTGCAGGCGCTTGGCGCTTTCCTTGTTTTCGTCCTTCATTAGCTCGTAATTGTCGCGTAGTTTGATCTCAAAGACGTCGTCCAGGAACACGAAGGAGAACTGGTTTATGCGGATCAGGAGGTCCGGGGGCAAGCGACAAGGTTCTGTCGATGGGACGGCACGGCTGTGTAGGGTCTTCAGCCACTTCTGCACACTGATGGCCTTGTCGAAAGTGTCAGAGAAGTTGTACTGGTAAGGGAACTCAATGGCAAGGCTGGGTGCAGTGAAGAGCCAAGTGCGATTACGAAATGTTTGGAGGAAAGGGAATTGAGATCTGAGCGGTTGCATTATTTCAAGCTCATCCAGCATCTGCACCTCGGCCCCAGAAAAGGAGATGATGTCATTGCCATCAAAACTGAACACCAAATGAGGAGTCTTCATCAGCACGGCTCCGGGCCGTTTGGAGAGCGACAGTGCTTCTGCACTGAAGATGATGAAGTTTGTCTCGGCAACATGGGCAGTGAGTCGTGTGCTTGCCAACTCTACACAAACTAACATGCCAGAGGAAGAGTCTGCAGACTCTGTCCCATCCTTCTGTCGTAGCCTTAGAGATTCAGATAGCGCCTTCCAATAGCTTTGGCTCTCTGTGACGTGCTGATACAAAAACATGTGATCCGATGGTGTCCACTGCACTGTCAAAGCGTTTTCACTCTGCACCTGATCAGATGAAGATCAGAGGATATGAAATCAAGATGTGGCTAAAGTCAGAATGAAATGGGAACTATGATCGTTTTTTTTCTCTATTGCAACATATATTTGAGTGAAACAGCGAACAAGAATGAAAAAGTAGGACGGAAGTTAATTTTGTCCATCGTGAATTCATTGAAACGCTGATGTTTGCTAATTGCTGCAACCTCATATGAGTGATATATTTGCAGAATACAAATCTAAAATGTACAATGACTTATATTCCAAAGCGATTTTTATAATGCAATTAATGTAAAGCACACAAAACATGCGCAAAGCACAGACATTTCGATTCATGTCACATGAGAAAGGTACATGATTTATTTGTATAGCACATTTTCAATACGTCAATACTTTTAGTTTTGTTTCAGAATTTGTTTAGGCTTGACCTTTATAATAAATACCACAATAATTTAGGTTTGTTTTCTACTTTTATTTTAAATCCCTGTTACATTCTAAATACAACTAAATTGAAAAGATTTTTTGTGGAGTGTGGGGAACTAAAATACATGTTTATAGTTTTTATAAAGTTTGAACATTTTAGTTTTACTGTTGTCTTAACAATACAATTTTTATCTGGCGTGATTTACAGATAAACTAGTGCTGTCAATCGATAAAAAAAAATTACTATTTAAATCACACATGTTTTCCTGAAATTAATCGCCATTAATCCCACCTAACATTAAAGTTTTTTAATATACTTTTATATTGCAATATTTTCACATTCAATCTTCAAATTAATGTAGAAACAACAAATACATTATATTTTTTTTATATTTGTTTAATGGCATCTTTTTTTTTATGACTGAAGGTGAGTATCACTGATACCAATAGTACTGATGTCTCTATGAAATAGTTTATGAAAATATTTTTCCTAATATTTAACCATTGATTAATGCCATTCAGCATTACAGTATAATTGAGAGCTGTCAATTTGAACATTTATAAGACTTTAAAAAAAGAACTTCTAATTTAAGTAAACTTAAAACAATCTTCACATAAACCCATTATAATAAATGTCATATTTAACTACCTGTGCCCTTCAGCAAGTAGGAAATATACAGAAATTGACTAAAGCTATCAATCAATTCTTAATTAAATATAGAGGAATCCTTAAAGCTACAAAAATTATTGATTTCCTCTTTTTTCTTTTGCTCTTTGATTAACAGACATCACAGCAGCTGGGTTATTTGGTTATTTTGGCTGCTTTAAGAGCTGCTGCTGACGCGGATCTGACACGCATCGTATTTTCTCACAACTCTCTACCTTTTCTGACCCACTAGACTTCAGCTCTTAAAGTCTCTATGATGAGCTGACAAGTTGAATTGGATGTGTTAGATGAGGGACAATGCTGGGCTGCTCCAGGACAGTTTTGAAAACTATGTTTTAATCCATTTAGTTGTGCTCAGTCTTCCTGATTTTTTCAGCAAGAATGCATCTTGTGTTGAGCACTGTTGCGACTGAAAGTCCAAGATTACAGTGTTGACTCAAATTGCTGTCCCCCCAACTGGATAACAAGTTATGACCCAAAATTTCACCATAACAAATCAGAATTTGAGACCAGACAGGAGTAAAATATATGCTACGTCCAAAACTTTTTAGATTTCCAGTTTTAAATTTTAATCTTAGTTACAGTTGTTAACAGTGTTTGATATGAAATGATCAATCATTGCAGTCACTTACAACCACACCTAGTGGTTATAGTCTGTAATAACTGATCCTATGTGAAGGACGTCACGACAGATTTGTGTAGGAGCAATGTAGTGGTGTAGTACCTCCAGACTGCGGGCACTGATGTGGTAAGAGACAGTGAACGAGGTTAGGGTCAGGATGGGGTTTGGAGTTTGAGCGGCTGGGCAGCAGGGCTCCATACTCTCAGTGAGGGCCTTCACCACAGCAAGGGAAACACCCTGGACAGAAACATTCGAGTTCTCCCCCGATCCTTCAGCTACCACTGTGTCCACCCTCAATGCAACAGCCCCTTTAATACAATACAGAAAAACAAACTCTCATGTACTGAAACAAGCTAATATACACAGAGTAACAAAAATCTCACACTTTTTGGATATAAGGCAGAGAAACAAGAGTTTAACTGTTAATTTAAGGGCTTCTTTTAGTTCTCACCTGCCACATTGGAGAGTGTGAATGTGTTTACATCCACAAGATTAAGTTTAAAGTTAAAGAGAGGTGGTAGATGGGATGGAGGCTTTTCTGGAAGGGAATGTAAGGGGATATTCTCTGCTTTGTCCAGTTTGAGAACAGAGAACAGACGTGACAGACACAAAGTGCAGGTCTCGGACACTTCCAGCTGCAGGCCTTTCAGACTGGACTCCATACAGGCACTCCCAGAAGGGTTGGAGTTCACTGTCCTCAACTTACTATAGCTTCCCTGTGGGCAAATTAATTAAAAAGGGAATAATGCAAAGCCAAATGGTTATTATTTCAAAATATGGCCCATCTTTCATAATAAATGACAACTTACTACATAAATAGTACACGTATTGATTTTACCTGCAGTGTGAGGGAGTCTAAGATAAGGGCTTCCCCCCAAACATGTTTTCCAGGTGGGTGAGGAGCCTGCTGGATATGGGAACCCTGGCCCACGCGCCACCAGAAATTATCCAGGGACAGAGATGCTTTCTCAGTCACAGCCAGACTCTTCATGTCATCCTCTTCTGAGCATAACAAGTGCTGCAGTTCTGTCAGACACACCAGATTCAGTCACACATCACAACAGAGACACTTTTAAACGGAAGTGTTCAATCAGTTCTATTTTACCAGAAGTTGACCAAAAAGGACACTTCTGCTATGCACTTTATTCATTTTGAAATGAGAATTCAGTCACTATTTTATAGGATCCAGGCAGTGTTGATCTTATTACCGGTAACTAGTTTTTGTATAATTGAAAAGTTTAGATAAATTATAAACATTAGATAAAAACTTAAAGTTTGCCTGGGCAACTAAGTGAATAAAGTTTAAGCTGAACTACTAAAATTATTAAAAGTAAACCTGAAATAAAATAAAATAAATGATTAATTATAAAATAATGTAATTATTTTATTAATGTGTGTATGTTATAATAATTTTAAAATTAATAATAATATTAACAATATTAAATATTACATTATAAATTTTGTATTTTTAATAAAATAATTTGTTAATTAAATATGAATGTAATTAAAGAAAATTACTAATATTTCAAAATGCCACATTCAACGTGATTTTTTTGGGCAGATCAGTGTCATAAAAGTATTTTTCAGCCTTTGAAATTGTGCTTTTCAAAATATATATATTTTCATGAAAAAGCTAAGCTACATAATTACAATGTGAAAATACTTTCTCATTCATCTCTAAAAGGCATAGAACAAAAACTGCTGTTATTTAGAGTATATAATCTGAATGGGTTGGTCAACTGTCTATTGTTTTTAACAGCATTCAATAGCCACATTTTGCCATTTACCACTGTTGGCTGAGATGAAGCCCAGGGCAAAGGGTGGTGTATCTCCCAACTGCACTGACACATTGACATTAGACACGGAGGAGCTTATCATCACGGGAGCATCCAGCTGAGGGAAACGCCTGGGAGACAAAAGGACACTTATCTGAGCACAATAAACAAGACCTCCATTACAGCCCAATCTGTGACGCTCAGAAAGCGAGCGGCAGATTAATACCTTTTTTTACGAGTCGTTTCATTGTGCGAGAGCTGGTCCCATGAAAACATGTCCAGCCAAAGGGAGAACTCCTGATGACGGTAGTGGATGATACAGGTGTTGATGGTGACCGTGCTAGAGATGTCAACAGATGTCACCTTAAGAGAGAGTGAAGCCAAAAACAATAATGAAAGCCAAAACAAAAATGAAGCTGCAAAACATGCCACAAAGAAAGATTTTGATTTGCACTGAAATCGCGTAAGACGACTCACCTGCAGTATTGTTCTGAGAGTGTTCAGACATATAATTCTCTGTCGGCTTTGTGACAGTAAAAGACCATCTGAAAAACACCAAGTACCCACAATACTTAGGGTTAAGTGTGTGTTCAGATCCCTAACCCCAAGTATAAGCAAAAATAATAACGATAAAGAGTGTGTTCTTGTGTACTTTCCACACCTTCCAGCAGAAGCTCCAGACGGCTCTGTGGGAAACTGAGTTGAGGGGTGAAACTCTTCAGTGGAAGCTGCTCATCGTCACGATCATAACCCACCTTCAGAGACTTTAAAGTCCAGTTCAAATGTCTGTGAAACAAACATAGTTTGTTAGAGCACAAAAACAACATCCAAGGTTGATCACAACGACTGTAACATCATTGCTTACCTCTTCTGACTGTGCATGGAAAGTGTGATATTAGTGTTTTCAAATTTTTTTTTTGATTCGGTCTCTCACAGTTGAGGTGTACCTACGATGAAAATTACAGATCTCTCCATTCTTTGTAAGTGGGAAAACTTGAAAAATCAGCAGTGTATCAAATACTTATTTGCCCCACTGTATATATATATCATATTATAATATAGTACATATTAATATATTTACTACAGGTTAACTAGTTTTCACTAGCGGAAATAATATAAAAGTTAACTGAAATAAAATAGAATACATAAAATAACTTTTTATATTTTATTATAATTTCTGCTACGTGCAAAGGCAACATTTGAAGACGAACATGAATTACTCAAATATGTAAAACTAAAACTGAAATGAATAAAAACTATAAGCTAGGCAACTATAAAAACTGTATGTAAAATAAATAAATAACAAACAAAATTACTAAAACTTTGACTGAAATTAAAATGGAAAATGTATATTAAAAAAACTAATTTCAAATATGAATAAAAACTATAATAGTATATCAATGATACTAAAATAACACAGATTTACAGCAGGGCTGCACAAATACCTATCTGCGTGCACGCACGCACACACACACACACACACACACATATATATATATATATATATATATAAACACA